ACTACTGTTAATCCACCTACCTACTTTCTGCTGTAATCACTACTGTTAATCCACCTACCTACTTTCTGCTGTAATCACTACTGTTAATCCACCTACCTACTTTCTGCTGTAATCACTACTGTTAATCCACCAACCTACTTTCTGCTGTAATCACTACCATTAATCCACCTACCTACTTTCTGCTGTAATCACTACTGTTAATCCACCTACCTACTTTCTGCTGTAATCACTACCGTTAATCCACCTACCTACTTTCTGCTGTAATCACTACCGTTAATCCACCAACCTACTTTCTGCTGTAATCACTACTGTTAATCTAGCTACCTCTGTAACCACTACTGTTTGTAATCTAGCACCACTGTAGTCACAATTGTTAGTTAATCTAAGTTAACCTCAATCTCCACAGCCAGTCCAAGTGAACCTTTGTTTATTCAGTCAGTCTATCTAAACCCGTCTCTACAGCCAGTCTATTTAAACCCCAGTCTCTACCGCCAGTCTATCTAAACCCGTCTCTACAGCCAGTCTATTTAAACCCCAGTCTCTACCGTCAGTCTATCTAAACCCGTCTCTACAGCCAGTCTATCTAAACCCGTCTCTACAGCCAGTCTATCTAAACCCGTCTCTACAGCCAGTCTATTTAAACCCCAGTCTCTACAGCCAGTCTATCTAAACCCGTCTCTACAGCCAGTCTATCTAAACCCGTCTCTACAGCCAGTCTATCTAAACCCGTCTCTACAGCCAGTCTATTTAAACCCCAGTCTCTACAGCCAGTCTATCTAAACCCGTCTCTACAGCCAGTCCAAGTGAACCTTTGTTTATTCAGCCAGTCTATCTAAACCCGTCTCTACAGCCAGTCCAAGTGAACCTTTGTTTATTCAGCCAGTCTATCTAAACCCGTCTCTACAGCCAGTCTATTTAAACCCCAGTCTCTACGGCCAGTCTATCTAAATGTCATGGGAGATCCCCTTGAGTTCCTGAGCCGTATTTTAGGACATGAAAAATATAGACCCACTGCCCCTTAACAATCATACAGCCTAGCTGTAAACCACAACACAACACGCCAACTGGCCTTTTGAATGCACAAGAAGAAGAAGGTAATGTATAATCACTAGAACCCATTGGACAGAAAAGAGACAGAGACCCAAAAATACTATGGTGAGGACGTGGAGAAAGCTGCAGACAACAGCGACCAAATATAGGATAGGATGGCCAGGCATGAGCTGGTTAAAGGCTTTGCTCCAATAGAGGGTCAAGGGCACAAGGTGAAGAAAGTTGGATTTGCATCACGCCCTCTTAGATAAGAGCTGACGCACACCTCAAAACAATTCATACCTGGGAAATCTTCCACTGAGTCATCGCTGACATACCTTTCCTTCAAGTATCTTCATCAAACACTTCACATATACGAAATCTTCACTGAGTCATCGCTGACATACCTTTCCTTCAAGTATCTTCAACACTTTCAAACACTTCACACATAGGAAATCTTCCACTGAGTCACCGATGACATACCTTTCCTTCAAGTATCTTCATCACTTTCACCCATGGTCTCTGTGGGCCCTCAAGTCTCGGCTGGTCAAAATTATGAAACTGCAATGTTCGTAGCCAGTTGAACATCCTGTTTAAGAGTGGTCAAAGAATTTCTAACAGCACTATGGAGAAGTCTATTTTAACTGCTGAAATAAACATTCCAAAATTTGCTCTAAACTGACAGCATTTTAACGGAGTTGAATTAGTACATTTTTATAACTAAATCAATAAGAAATATTCCAAAACTTATTCAAAAGGTACAACATTCTAAAGGGGTGCAGTCAGCACATTTCTAACTCTGTTTATAACGAGACCTTTATATCTGCATGCATTACATAGGCTGAGGCACTAAGGCTTTTGGTGATGATTTTCTCTGGTGCATGTCAGAAGATAAAGAATATCAATTATACCACATTCACCAAGAAAACAGAATTACTTGTTTGTAAACGGATGAACATGGTCACTTGCCCAGTTTTTTGCTTTTAACTTTTTGGTGGCAATGAAACCATAATCGAAATACTATCACAACACTTCGCTAATACTTCTTCTTTACAGGTGTCGGGGGAGCAAATAGTTGTGAGCAATAAATAAACTACCACTGTGAACTTAACAAAGCAGACAAAAAGAACAGCCCACAATTAGGTGCTATGTAATGTAGTTGATTCTGTGTTTCAGTTAGAAGTTTCATTCATTTGCTTCATTTTAATCAATTGCTACTGTAGTATAAACCTGGCAAGATATGCAGGAATATGCCAGGCAATAAATGATGACATCTAATGTGTGTGTTTTCTTTGTTCAAATAAATTACCAGCAACGTCCACTGCACTATCTAAAAAAAAAAAAAAAAAAAAACTATCTGCATGTACCACTTTTTAGAGTGCTGTAGGCAAGGGGTCGTGATGCTAAGGATTTAGGGCGGCACGGATAGTGCTGTTGCCACGGACTGTACAGGTTAGGATGTTTAATTTTGCCCCCGACAGAAAAACTCTATCATTTACCGGGCATCGAACCCAGGTCTCCCGTATGACAGCCCAAGGCTGTAACCACTCAGCCAGCCGTCCTCCACTGCGCTATCACAACATAAATATACAATTAAAACTAACAGTACCACATAACTATCACAAAGAAAGTGATCAACAAAACACCAAACGGAAAAGTAATAAATTACAAGAAATATCACTGCACAATCATAAAGTATTAACATCACAAAAAAAAGTGATAAACAAAACACCACAAATGGAAAAGTAATAAATTACAAGAAATATCACTGCACAATCATAAAGTATTAACAACATCACAAAGCAGGTGATATACAAAATACTATAAAAACAGCAACACCCGGGAAACAGTGAAAAACAAAATATTATAAACACATAGTAATATGAGCTGCCATGGTACAGGGGTTAGACACTCACCTGCGGATAGGAAGGTGGTGGGTTCATATCCTGATGGAACTGAACATTTTTCAAAAATGATCTCGGCTCCCAGGTTGACCCAACATTGAGTGGGTACCAGGTATAGTCCTGGGAAGTAAAGGCAGCCAGCTTGAATTTGACCACATCAAGCACCCAGTGCCGATTGATCTATAATATATAGGTCTAGCCCTATATGCCCGAAGGCATGGAAAAGGGTCCTTTACGTTTCACTTACATGGCTAATGCATGATCACGATAAATCAACTCATGTTAAATTTTCTATTTAGTATTTGTAAACAAAAAAAAGGATACACTCTTTCTGTCTTTTCCTGAGAGACAATGTGGGAGATAATATATTCCTCCTTGAATTTTTGAAGAGTCTCCTGTGAGAAAAAATTAATTATTTAACGCCAATAAAAAATACAAATGTTACTCTTATCTGGCAGGCTACATCACTCAATAGAGTCTATCAATACCTAATCTGATGACAAGCACTGTTAGTTGCTGTTTGTCCCACGGAACCTGGTAACATAGGGGTGGGTACAGAGAGTAATTGCTAAGAAGAGAAAACTGGATCTCACTGTTGGTAAGCCAGCACCTGTCATCACATCCCTATCATCTCATCCCTGTCATCTCATCCCTGTCATCTCATCCCTATCATCTCATCCCTGTTGTCTCATCCCTATCATCTCATCCCTGTTGTCTCATCCCTATCATCTCATCCCTGTCATCTCATCCCTGTCATCTCATCCCTATCACCTCATCCCTGTCATCATAGTAACAGGTTCCCTACTAGGGGCCTGGCCAATGTAGATAGGATCATCATTCCTGTTTAGTCAGCGCTCCTTCTGTCTGAGAAGTGAGGTACGGATGTACACACATCACAAGTCCTGGAACAAGACCAAAGTCCAGAGATGGCTGAACAACCAGGACTTTCTTTCAGAGTTAAGGAAGGTTAGTTGCGTATCCTTTACAGGACGTTGCAGAACCAACCCCAGCAGCCTTAAGCTGTTGTGTGGTTTCTCTAGGCAAATTTACGTCTAGTAGTTTGCCACTGCTTCTGGACGGTCGGCCCCCTGATACCACTATCACCCGAGACCAGGGGGAATTACTAAAGTCCAAGTCCACGTGAAAAAATCATTGCCCTTAGCGAGGATTGAACCCGAAACCTCTAGCACTCAAGGTGGACACCATGCCTCGAGACCACGCAGCCTCCTCTGCAATGAGATGATTCACAAGACACTGATTACACTGTTGGCAGGGCACACATACCTGATATTGAGTCCAGTCAATGGGTTCATGGACTCCGTCAGATCCATACTTCTTGTTGTAGCCATCAAGGTGCAGCTGAAACAGGCAACCGCTTATTTCAGAATCCCAGTCAGAGTGACATTGTTTTTGTACTCACACACTCTCAACTACTCTAATTCTGTGGCTTTAACACGTCTCCAACAATGAACTAATTACAATGTTTCATTTCTCCGGGCACTGTAAATGTCAGTATATTCTACACCTACCAATAGTCTTCTTCTGCTCTTTATTCTCTGATGGAGCATAGGCCCTCACCAACTCATGCCAAGTTGTCCAATCTTTTGCTACAGCATGCAGCTAAACCTGTGTCCTCCTCATCTTTTTATCTTCTCTCTAGCTCCCTTCTCCATGTGTTTTCTTAAGTCTGTCTTTTATTTCTATGCCCTCGTTGGTTTCAGTGCACAGGCATAATACTGTTCTCATGCTTTCCCAATGTGTGTCCCTATACCCAGCAGTACTGTAACTGTTAAAATGTTTATATCTTCCTAAGCAGCAGAAAATAATAAGTGTGGTTCCCCAACAGTTTATACCACTGAGGTGGAAACTGTTAGACCATCATATACTCTACGTCTCAAGACACACAATGGCATGGCCAGCCACCTTGCCAGACAAACTTTAGAAAATTATCTAGAACTATTTTTTATGAGGTCAAGATCTCTCTTCTTCCCTGTTTCTCCAGATAACTCTATTTAACTCTAATTCGTTTCAGTATTTTTCAAAAAAAAAAAATATAATGTACTCAACTGTTTCCAGGACAAGACCAAGGCCAGGTGCTTTTGGAATGTCGACCTGCAACAAAACACCATAAACATTACACACTGATATCTTCAATGCAATAAGAATCTTTCAAAAAACTCCCAAGAACCTTTTCTCACTGCCTAGCTGTATCTCTTCTTCCACAAATATTTCCCGCCTACCTGTATCTATCTCTTCTTCCACAAATACTTTCCGCCTGCCTGTATCTATCTCTTCTTCCACAAATATTTTCCGCCTGCCTGTATCTATCTCTTCTTCCACAAATATTTCCCGCCTACCTGTATCTCTTCTCACAAATATTTCCCAAGTATTTATTTTTAAATAGTGTGGGCAGAACAAAAAATTACATTTAGTTATAGTAGTATCCTCCTGACTTTATCTCTGTATGATTCTAGAGGCCTGTCACTAGTGACTGCAAGGTCCACCTTCAACCATTTATCTGTGTTTATTTATTCACGATTACAAAACATTTTCATTTTAACTAATTTAAAAAAAAAGGTGGCAACACTGCAAACAGTGGAGCCTGGCTATTACTCTGGTCATGGTTCAAGCCACCTACAAGAGATGAATCTTTTCCTAGTGACTTTACAGCTCAGCAACCTCTATGAAAGGTAGATGCCTCTGCTTCTAGAACAGGGCTATTCAACTAGTGGCCCGCTGAGGCCTAGCAAGTGGCCAGCGGAGGCCTAGCAAGTGGCCCGCGGAGGCCTAGCAAGTGGCCCGCAGATCACTGGCAATTGTATAGTATTACTGGTATTTCTATGTTGGAGCCCGAACCTCTGGACCGTGATGATCCCCATTTTCAAAATGTCGGAAAAGACTGATTCACTGGACGACAGAATAAAAGTAAATATTGCTGGATACACACATGGTAAGGGAGAAGCAGGTGCTGAAATAGAAGTAGACGGTGGATATACAGACAATAAGAAAGCAGTAGATGTTAAACGAAACAAAACAACAGAAACAAAGAAGACAGTTAAAGTAAAGACAATAAAGAAGTAACAGGATATACAGACAAGAGACAGCTAGTTGGGCACCTACCTTGTCTGGCCCCCAAGAAGCATCAATTGTAGACTCTCCACAGTAGCCCCGGAGAATGGCTACCGTAAGACCTGCAGGTGAGAAGAGGTTGCATATACTACAGTATCTCAACAACACCTGTCAACTGCTGACTATCTTCTTCTTAAGTTTTCTTCTTCATGCTCACTGGCTGTAAACTCCAGCAGAATTTCTGGTTGTTCATCCACTTCTGGGCTATGATCTTGTTCCAGAACTTGAATTTTGTGTGCATATCCATTTTACAGATTTGACTTAGTCAACAGATCATCCTCACGGAACCAATCAGTCCACAAGTGCTCGGATTTCCTCCTTAGTAAATCCTGCAGTGTGTAGCAGCTCATGACACCAGTTCTGTGTTGGTTTCTTATTCTTCTCTAGCTTCCTGCAAAGTGTTCTTGCCTGGCCACACTCTTTTCCTTTTTAACATGTTCTCGCAGTCTGGTCATGGTTGCAGATTCAGTCATCACTTGGTTCTCTTGAACAACTCACTTCTCATAAATCATTCAGAATATCAGCTTGGTCCATGGCTCGTCAAACTTCCACAGTAGCTTCACCTGCAAGCCGATCAGCTTGCTCATTTCCTTGCATGCCTGCCTGCCCTGGCACAAATATGAAACTAATATATGTCAGCTCCGACCACTTTAGAGATTCCAACCACTCTCTTTGCATTCAGCCCTTGTCTATCTTCCTGAGCATTCTCACTGACTCACAGAGAAAGTATGTGCGGGAAAATGTCTGCGTCTCCAGCCATGTTCTTGATCACTGCCAAGACCTCTGTAGTCAGACTATTTGTAATCAAGGCAGCAGTGCTAGAATCAATTCTAACTTCAAACTTTGCCGTAAAACCCAAGAGCTTCTCACAGGCGAATCACAGACCCATCTGTGTAAATGTCTGAATCCCCTTGTTGGGAACTCACAAAAATCAAAGCCTGCACTTCTGCCTCAACAGGCTGGCTTTCTTGTCTGCATTTTCTGTCTCGTCGGATGCAGACAGAAAAGGTCTGTTGGTAACTGTAGCCAATCGTCACCAAGTTCCATGTCCTCACTGAACACCCCTGTTGAATAATCTTCTCGGCCTGACCCATCCACGACTTTCACCTTTTTAACCTGCTGCCTTTTTGCTTCTTAATTTCACCATACATCGGGTGTTATGTATTTGCACTGACTCTAAAGTAACTGCTCCGCAAATCTAAATTCTGTCCTCACCGGTTAGAAAATCAAGAAGGCAGTGCACAGCCCTATAAATTTGACTTACCTGCATGCAAACTGTTGGTTCCTCATCTGTCAAGCAGATGAACTCCGATTCAAAGCAAATACTTCTGATTAGTCACTCTTGACGACATGCGTGTTATGGGGGGCAACAGGTCTACCCCCCCCCCCCCCAATAGTGCCCCAGAATCCACACACACAAAAACTGCTGACTATTAAATGCAAGAATTAATTAAACACTAACACAATATTAGTACCATGCTATTCAAACACAGATATGCTTTGTTAGATAAAATATGCCAAATTATAAGCTGCTTTCTGTTGGTTAACAGATAAAAACATCTCAAAACTACTGTATTCTTGTGCGGCACCTAGTTAATAACAATCAAAGCCTCACCTATCATTTTACGTATGTGATGCAACATGAAACTTTGCCCTTTCACCTCTAGGGTCACAAACTCGATTCCTTCTCTGACGTACGGCTCTGAGCACTGCAACAAACAGAAACAAAATAAACACACAATACATTTAAGGTATTCTCACTTGTTTTTATGCAATCAATAGACGAACAGTTAGCTACATAATGTGAACTGAAATTTCACAACCAGCTGCACAACTTAAAACACTATGTCCTGAGTGGTCCTAATAAATATTATCAATTGACTAGTGAGACAGTCACCGTAAGTTCTAGGGCCCTATCGGGGAAAAGACAAAACCCACTGCCCTTTTTAATAAGCATGTTGCTGCAATTGGATTTGTTGGACCGAAAGGCGCAGATACCACAACCTAGCTGCAAACCATAATGTTCCAGCCGGGGCAAATGCAGAAGAATATTTAAAATGTGATGCAAATATCAGAACTGCATCAATAAACATCTTCTGTACACAAAAACCAACACAGCAAGAATAATGTGACTTGACTGTTTAAAAACATGCCTAGCTCATTTCTTATGTTTAACTCTTTAACGTGAACTTGCACCTCACACATTTCAGTTTTATGGCTATTGGGTATATAGGGCTAGACATATACTTTATAGACCAATCGGCACTTCATGGATGAAGTAGTCAATATCATATTGCCTGCCTTTACTTCCCAGGACTTTACCTAGTACCCATTGAAGGCTGGGTCAACTTGGGAGCCAAGGCGTGTTCACAGTGCCTAATTTAACTGAATCTCGTGTTGCCTAGTTTAACTGAATCTCGTGTTGCCTAATTTAACTGAATCTCGTGTTGCCTAATTTAACTGAATCTCGTGTTGCCTAATTTAACTGAATCTCGTGTTGCCTAGTTTAACTGAATTTCGTGTTGCCTAATTTAACTGAATCTCGTGATGTTCTGTCATAATTATACATTTTAATCTGCAAGGTAATGGAAGTATGATTAGCCCTTTTGTTATTCAGCCGTTTCATCTAATGTTTTCACACAACTTAACCTGGTCATAACCTCTCACCTGTCCTACTTCTCTGGGTCACTTCAAGTTTATCTGTAATGACTGTGTTAATTAATCTTCTTCTTTCGTTATCTTTAAACAGATTATCTAGATCTGCCATGTTGTCTCTAGTATGAACTTCACTGTTTGTTGTAATTCCTTCAGTAACCCTCTAATTTGGCGTGCACTGGTACTGATGACGATGTCTGATTTTACTGCAAAGCTAATCAGTTCTACTTCTTACTCTGGCTGATTTGTTCACAGTACTTTCTCACTAACATGATTTCACCCAGTATGTATGCCATTTCATGTATTAGTTTTTATGACAGCTTCTTCGTGTTCACCAGCTGCAAACTCTGGTGGAAAGTTCTGGTTGTTCATCCACGTCTGGACTGCAGTCCTGTTCCAGAACCTGAGTTTTGCGTGTGCATCCATTTGACAGATCTGACTCATTTGTGTGCAGACTGCTGGTTCCTTGCCTCTCAGGCAAATGCACTCCGACTTCGAAGGAAGTTCCCAATTAGTCGACTCTTACGACATGCTTTTGGGCAGGCAGTGGGTGTATTCTTGTTTTCCCTATAATAGGGTCCCGGAACCCACACGGGGATTTATGGTAGTTTCATTATCCTCAGTTGAGTCAAGAATTGATGTCACAGCACTCTGGGTATCCCCATGTGTGCTCCGTCCTCATCTTCAGCAGCCAGGGCAGAGTTCCAATACTGATAAACATTTATAACATCAATCTTGTGTGTGTAAGTTCAAGGCAACATCCAACTTGTTTCCTCAAACAGGTGGTCAAGCTTTTTAATGCTTCAAGTTATGGAATATTGCCAGGTTTACTGTAATTCCAGTTTGGATTCTTTATACAATCATCATAAATTAAACAAACATCTATTCTGTAAGAAACAAATCCAAATTATTACCTCAAACTTTATTATATATCTTGATGCACATGCCTGTTCATACTTCCTGTTAAGAATAAAATGTTCAGTGAACAATCTCATAGAAAACATTATTAACACATTATCAAACCTACCAACAGATTAATGACTGAAGTTGAGAAAAGTTATCGGAATATTTGTAATACATGTAATAAACATATTTTACTATCACATATTTGTTACCTCTGTAAGGGGGGGGGGGGGGGGGGGGGGGGGGGACTTCATTTTGACATTTATATAGAAGGCATATAGTTATACTTTGTAAAAAAAAAATCAAATACTGTAAATTGTGGCAGATAACACTAGTTTTTCAGCCTAAAACAATCTTTCCAAAACTAGGGATGGACTTATATAGTGGGTATAAAATGTGACGAGTAAGTATGGGTATAAAATGTGACAAGTAAGTATGGGTATAAAATGTGACAAGTAAGTATGGGTATAAAATGTGACAAGTAAGTATGGGTATAAAATGTGACGAGTAAGTATGGGTATAAAATGTGACAAGTAAGTATGGGTATAAAATGTGACAAGTATGGGTATAAAATGTGACAAGTAAGTATGGGTATGAAATGTGACAAGTGAGTATGGGTATAAAATGTGACAAGTATGGGTATAAAATGTGACAAGTGAGTATGGGTATAAATGTGACAAGTAAGTGTGGGTATAAAATGTGTTAAGAGAGTATAGGCCCAACTAAATCTTTAGAGCTAAAATTCTGTAGGTTGACTTGTACATTGCAAATCATGCAATCTTCAACAAAAAATTTACCTAAAATATATTAATCCTTCTCCACCAACATCATTTGCCACGTTAATAAGTATTAGCAGTAATGGTTTCCAATGTCACATGATCTGTAGTGATTAAGATCAAGTCTGTGTTCTTGTCCCCCATCCTTATCCATCAATTTCACCAACTATCATTAGGTTTTGATGTAAAAAAAAACATATAGGGCTGGACGTATATTTTATAGAACAATCAGCACTTGGTGGGTGATGTGCTCAGCATCACCCCGGCCGCCTTTATATCCCAGGATTCCACCTGTACACATTCAATGCTGGGTCGACCAGGGAACCAAGGTCATTTCTGAAAAAGTCTAATACCACCGGTACACAAATCATAACCTTCTGATCTGCAGGCAAGCCTCTCGTCGCTACACCATGGTGCCCCCCTCCCCTCAGATTTTGGAGATCACAATTCCCCCAAAAGAACCATTTAAACCCTGTTGCCCCAAGAAGCAAGGCTCAGTGCAGTGAACCTAAGAGTTAGAACTCAATTTTCTTAAGGAATCGCCAATAAACTTCTCAGAAATACTGAACTAACAATTTTTAATTCTAATGTCAAATCAGTACTGTTGTATGGGGTGGAAACATGGAGAACAACTAAGGCAAGTACTAATAAATTACAAACATTCATTAACTGGTGCCTGCACAGAATAGAGGGAATAAAATGGTATGATAGAATAACTAATGTAGAACTTTGGGAGAGAACTAAGCAGGCTCCAGTGGACCAAGAGGTGAGGAAAAGACGCTGGCGTTGGATAGGACACACACTGAGAAAACAGGAGAACAGCATAACTTTGCATTGGAACCCACAGGGGCATAGGAATAAAGGAAGGCCAAAAAAACACATGGAGAAGCGAGCTGGAGAATGAGGTTAGAAAGATTGGGAGGACATGCGGAGAGCTCCATGCAATGGCGAAGGATAGAATGACTTGGCGTGAGTTGGTTGAGGGCCTATGCTCCATTGGGGGATAGAAAGGCAGAAGAAGAAGAAGAATAAACTTCTCTAACAGTGTCACTGGTAGCTATTCACTAGACAGCAGGGAGGTCTTCGTGATGAAGTATCAAGCCATTTTCCTCTCTCCCTAAGGGCCATGGGTTCATTTTAGGGACTGTTTCATTTGGTTTGTGAGTGCAATGTTTACTGAGATCCCTGTGAATCATCACCGTGACTTTGATTTTGCTTCAGAACTTGAGTTTTGCGTGCATATCCATTCTACAGATCCTGCCTGTTTGTGTGCAGACTGTTGGTTCCTTTCCTTCAGGCAGGTGCACTCCGACTTTAAAGATAACAACCCTAATTAATCACCTTATATGACATGCTTGTTAGGGGGCAGTGTATGTATTATCTCTCCCAAAAGAGGGCACTGAACCCACTTGGGGTACCATGGCTCGTATAAGGGTTCAACACTTAAGCCTAGCTTTAATTTCTGACTGTAATGTGATTATGTCTCCTTTTCATTAAACATTTCTTCAAGACTCAAAATAACATATCAAACATGTTTTAGAACCGAAAGAGGTTTAAAATACTTACACCCCTGAAGTAAAATTGTGGAATTTGTGAGTTCCAAGAAACCTGCTCAAGACTGTCCTCACTCTGGTTAGGATCTCCGCTGTTTATGAAAGCAAACCACAGGATAACAAACAAGTAAACATTGTAACAGAGTGAGCTCATAGCTTCTATGACCTCAATTGTCAGTTTAACTACTATAACTGCGTAGAATAGGATGATGAAATCCGATGCACTTTAGATATTTTTAGAAAATCCCACGTGAGAACCTACCTAGTAAACAAGTTGAGGCGTACTTGAATATTCTAGAAGCAGACAGCGAGAAGAAAACAAATACCTATCATTCCAGCATCCAAGTATAAATAGCGAGCAACAAAGCACTTAAGCAATTCTTCAGTCCACAAGACTCAAGAGAGGAGAGACCAGTCACATGGCTCTCAAGACAGCCTTCAGTGGTAGAGATGTAAGCTCAACACTAGAAACCTTCAGTCGTTGAGACTCAGAGGACGAGCGACTAGTCTCAATGATCATCGATGCCAGCTCAACACTAGAAGGAGAGCAGCTGTTCATATGTAACCTCCAAGACAGTCACTGGAGAGCAGACATGAAACAAGACATCGAGCTACAGAGATGACACACAAGATACATGGATCCATGGTTAACAGACACCCATTAGGAACACTATAGAGTCGACGATCAAGCCGTTAGTACCAACAGCACTAGAAGCCAGGTGGCAGTTAGAGACACTAGAACCAGTTAACAAAGTAACTAGAGAGGAAGAACACAACGCAAACCTACGAGTATTTAGCCTTAGAGAGAACACAGCGCTATTCAGAATATCATTGATGTATTTGTGACATTGTTGTAGTATTGCAATAAAGACAGTTTAGACGAGAACTGTTTCCAGCCATTTTATTATACAAGCATCAGAGTCACGTGAGAAGCATGTAGCAAGCAGGACATCATCATCATCACTACCACTATCGACACGACCATCTTTCTCCTCGTCTATAATCTTCCAATCGACTCCTCCTGTAGCAAACCTAAAGACGAACCTGGGTGTGACATCAACGTACGCCACAAAAAAGAGAGCTGTGCTACAACATATAAATAAATTATGTTAGGATGTCAACAGTTTACAAAATTCTATAACATAATCTAGTTAGCAAACCACAGACTGAAAGACAAGTCAACATCAATGTAAATTCATCCTGTAGATCAAAAGCACATTGATGTCAGCAAACCACAGAAAGATAAACAAGTGAATGTCATTGTAAAATTGGATGTCAGCAGTTTAGTAAAGATCAACAGCACAAGCAAACCACAGAATGAGAAACATGTGAATGTAACTTTAAAATTGAAAGTCAGCAGTATACTAAAAGTTAACAGCAACAGCATATCAATGTTAGTAAACCACAGGATGATAAACATAACAAACAAGTGAATGTCATTGTAAAACTGGATGTCAGCAGATTACTAAAGATTAACAACTACAATGAATGTGAGCAAACCACAGAATAAACAAGTGAATGTCATTGTAAAATTGGATCTCAGCAGATTACTAAAGATCAACAACTACAAAAAATGTGAGCAAACCATAGAATGACAAACAAGTGAATGTCAATGATTCCAAGCATCTGTAAAACTGTGACACCTGACATGACAAAGTAAAATGCCAATGATTCCAAGCATCTGTGACACCTGACATTACAGAGTAAATACTGACGAAAGAATCAAAGTTACTACTGCGTTTCAGTACTCACGTTCTACTCTGTATTCATCTGTAACAAACTGAAATGAAATCATTGTGAGCAAGTTACCATAGTATTTTGGTCAAGAAAAATGCAACGAAAAGCTGAACTGAAATATGAAAATACTAGCAACATTGCCAAATGGAATCACTGTAGCACTGTGTTAGTACACTTGTTTACCAAGACAGTGTTTGAGGTTTAGTTCCCACTCAGTGGCAGACACCTCGGAACCAATATGCTCTGGGTTCAAACTAGTCTCAATTAATGGGCCCCTAATCATATTTTATTTGGTCTGACAAAAATCTTGTCAGTGAACCTCATTATGCTATGGAGTAAATATGTGAAGTCTTCATCTGCAATAAACCAACTTTACCTTTTTGTGGTTTTTGTCATCGACAGCTGCCATGGTGTAGCGGCTAGAAGCTTGTCTGTGGATGCGAAGGTCGTGGGTTCCGGTTCTGATGGAGCCGGACTTATTTAAAAAATAACACTGGTTCACAGGTTGACCCAGCCTTAAATGGGTACCAGGTAAAGTCCTAGGAAGTAAAAGTGGTACATTGGGAGTGAGTGAACAGTGAGGAGACAAGACAGATCATTATGGTCTGGGGAAAATGGTGCTGTCAGAAGTGACGGTAGGATCTGACCGACACTCAATACTCAGGGGAAGACGAGACGGATATACAATAAGACTTACTTGTTTCATTAGAAATGGAACTCTGCACTTGCTGCTGAAGATAGGGACGGACTGCTTATGGAAATGCCCTGAGCCTGTGATGTTGATTCTTAATTCAGCCTTCAGCAATCATTTACCATTCTATATGGCTTGGGCAGAATGTTAGATGGGCCTCTGTGCCCGGCCTCCTAACTCTTACAATAAATTTAGTTTGCTTGTCTATTCTCCCCTCACAGAGTTGCTAGTTTGTGTGAAATCAACACACAAAGAATGAAACTCCATAGCTCCAGTGATGAGCTCCAGAGATCCTAACAATACCTACAAGCCAGAGTCTGAAACCACACCCACAACTTTCAGAGCATGAGGCAAATGCCTTAACCATATCACCATAGAGATCCTCAGAAAAAATATGATCTTACGGCAGAGAAAGAAACAGATGCAGTAACACAGAGGGATAGAGATAAAGACATGCAGAGAATCAAACACACATGGTAGCAGATGAATGCAGGTAGATACTGTGTTAGTTGCATATCCTTTACAGGACATTGCAGAACAAACCACAGCATTTTTTAGCTGTTTAGTTTACTAGGCAATTTTATGTTCAGCAGTTTGCCATTACTTTCTCAACCCCACTATTAAAATCAATGCAAAACCACATGCTGTCAAACCTGGTATTTCAGAATTATGAAACGCATTCACAATACCTAAGCCACAGATATAGGAAATGTCTGCAGGCAGGTGGGCAGGTAGACAGAAGCAGACAGAGACAAAATGAATTGCAAACAAATACAACATACAGACTCGTACAATGAGGAGACAGATTATTATCTGATAATCTGAAAGTGTGAAATGAAATATCCAGTAACAACTTGCCATACTAAACTGATATTGTTTAAACTAAATATATTGAAAACATTAAACTGTCTCTCATTTTATAGGTACCTTGGTTAAAGGAGCGAAAGCATATGTTGGCGTCATGTACGTGTAAGTTCGGCTATCACACCAATTTTTGGAGTCAAACCCATTTGTTGTACGAGTGTATCCTGAAAACAAGCAGGAAGAAAACATTTAAGACTTACATTTAGTAACACAGTGGATGGGGAATGTGAAAATATTCCAAATAAATGATAAAAACACAATAACTATATAGCAGGGCTTATTAGGATACATCCACTTGGCAAGCACAAACCAACTCTAATCAACTACCAACTCTAATCAACTGTCTTTTAACATAATTGAATTGTAAAAGAGAGATGAAGAAAATGATCAAGAAGAAAAAAACAACAAGCATGAATCAGCAAAACTAAACACTGATACTGTCAATGAGAAAGTCTATGCTTCTCTAACATTGCTCAACAAGATTAAGAACAGGTTTGTTTTGTTCTTTCCTTCCTTGGAGCATAGAACCACTCTCATACAAACTTTATTTTCAAACGGCCCATCTTACAATCGGCCCTTCTGAACACACATCTTTCACAAAGCAGTTGTACTTTATCAATAAAGCATGCTATGTTCAGATAATAATATGCATATTATAAATAACAAGCAAAAATACAAAAGCACGGGTGGTACAATGTATACGCACACTCGCTTGCGCACACAATTATCCACATACACATGCAAACCCACTCCCTCATTTACACAAACATATGTGCCCACATACATACATACACACACATATCCACAAACATAAATACATACACATTCATACATACATGCATACACATTTACACACCCACATACATACATTCCCACAGGCATACACACTTAGCCACAAAACTGACACAAACACACCGACACAAGCACATAGAGAATCAGACACGCCGACATTACCAAATAGACACACACACAGCCACATGCACACACAATTATACACAGAGAGCCACACACACAGGCACAGACACACACACGCAGCAAGAGGTACACAGTGCTAAAAGTGGCAAGACAATGTCAAGAGATGAATGAACAGCAGTCTGTCAGAGTCTACAACTAGGGCACAGACAGAAAAAGGCCAACCTTGACTGTGGAGGTGATACCTTACTCTTTGACTGAAAAAGACGAGCAAAGCTGCACTACTTTCACTCATAAAGTCAACAATGAATTTTTAACCTCCTATTAAAAGACAAACACATTTTAAATTCAAAAGACAACAATTAATATTGAGTTGAAATAAAATAGAAATTAACTTGAAGGAAAAAAAATAACAAATCATACGTACAACATAACAGTTTCACTAAGGCAGGAAGACACATTAAATTCTTGATAATATAAAAGTAAAGATTCTCAGGAAAACAACAGATAAGTCTAAAACAAGGGCATCTTACCAATGACTCGGATTTGTGGTGGTAGTATTTCATTCATCTTGCTCACGAGATCAGGAACCAGGACTGCTTGTAAGAAGAAAAATGAATCAAAGAACATAAGCAACAAAAATGCTTGAGTTCTAAACAAAAACTGGAGCAGCTGGTTGATAAGTCTTCTTCTTCATGTCCATCGGCTGTAAACTCTGGCGGAAAGTTCTGTTGTTTTGTCTACTTCTGGACTGTAGTCCTGTTCCAGAATTTTAGTGTTAGGTGTGCATCCATTTTACATATTTGACTCATTTGTATGCAGACTGTTGGCTCCTTGCCTCTCAGGCAAATGCACTCTAACTTCGAAGGAAGCTCCAAATTAGTTGACTCTTATGACATGCTTGTTGGGTAGACAGTGGGTCTATTCTTGTTTTCCCCACTGTAGGGTCCTGGAACCCACACAAAATAAAGGCTGATTAGTGGATCCTCTGGAAGACTGAGTTTGTGCTCCTAAATTATGCTTTAATGTCCAGGTGTTTCTGACATGGAGGTCACGGCCATTATGTTTACCATTCCAAATGAAAGTATCTTCAAGTCACTCGAGAGTCTGTCTATTAGGTTGTCTCTCCTAAAGGCCTTAATGTCTAACACAGTTTTATCTAAAACATTTTTCTAGCGGCCTGAACTAGGTTAGCAGAGAACTTTCTTCCTGACCCAGGAAAGAGCATTAGAAGCTGATGCCAGGAAGTATTTTAATGTACGTACAAATGACAAGCAAGACCCCCCCCCCCCCCCAATTCCACTTGCAAGCTTTCATCTTGCAGAGCTGTTGAGGAAATTCTGTAACTCAGTGATCCAACAGCAATAGTGCAGCCACTGGTATTCTAAAGTGGATAGGCAAAAGCTTAGAGATCAGGCTGAGGGAGACACTAATTAGTTATCTGAAGGGACCTGAGGGAGACACTAATTAGTTATCTGGGGGGACCTGAGGGAGACACTAATTAGTTATCTGGGGGGACCTGAGGAAGACAGTAGTTAGTTATCTGGGGGGACCTGAGGAAGACAGTAGTTAGTTATCTGGAGGGACCTGAGGGAGACACTAATTAGTTATCTGGAGGGACCTGAGGGAGACACTAATTAGTTATATGGAGGGACCTGAGGGAGACACTAATTAGTTATCTGAAGGGACCTGAGGGAGACACTAATTAGTTATCTGGGGGGACCTGAGGAAGACAGTAGTTAGTTATCTGGAGGGACCTGAGGGAGACACTAATTAGTTATCTGGAGGGACCTGAGGGAGACACTAATTAGTTATCTTGAGGGGCCTGAGGAAGACACTAATTAGTTATCTTGAGGGGCCTGTGGGAGACACTAATTAGTAATCTTGAGGGGCCTGAGGGAGACACTAGTTATCTTGAGGGGCCTGAGGGAGACACTAGTTAGTTATCTGGAGGGACCTGAGGGAGACACTAATTAGTTATCTGGAGGGACCTGAGGGAGACACTAATTAGTTATCTTGAGGGGCCTGAGGGAGACACTAATTAGTTATCTTGAGGGGCCTGAGGGAGACACTAGTTAGTTATCTGGAGGGACCTGAGGGAGACACTAATTAGTTATCTGAAGGGACCTGAGGGAGACACTAGTTAGTTATCTGGAGGGACCTGAGGGAGACACTAATTAGTTATCTGAATGAACCTGAGGGAGACACTAATTAGTTATCTGAAGGGACCTGAGGGAGACACTAGTTAGTTATCTGGAGGGACAATCTGCAGACAGTCAGAAGCTGGGGACAGTCAGATGCTGGGGACAGTCAGAAGCTGGGGACATTCAGAAGCTGGGGACAGTCAGAAGATGGGGACAGTCAGAAGCTGGGGACAGTCAAAAGCTGGGGACATTCAGAAGCTGGGGACAGTCAGAAGATGGGAACAGTCAGAAGCTGGGGAATATAAACATGACAGAAATAATTGTTAAAGCTGGATGCACTGACGTTATGATCCACACACAAAAGTACAAAACGATTTATTTCATGAAAATGTAATGAGTGTCATAATGTATACTTATCTTCAAAGAGAATATCTGGCCAACTGCCGAAACTCCTTTATCAGTGCGAGAACCTCTCTGGAACCACATCTTTGATGGCGTGTTCATGTGATCCTGCGGCACAGCCCCAACTTTCACTAGTGCTGGGAAGATTTCACTTTCAATGGTTTGGAAGCCCGGATTTCTGATAAAAGTAAATGTGAAGTTTGGTTGGTCTCTGCTGGCCATCTGGTATACACTTCTAACATAGTTTTGGTCTCTTTAAAACTGATCAGGGCTGCAAACTATCTAAAATTGTATACCAGGAAATGTTTTGGGAGGTAAAGATGGACAGCCTGATAATACTGGCAACAGCATCCATCAAGTACTATCTGATTTATAAAATTATTGGGGGGGGGGGGGGGAGAGAGAATATAAGCCCAATACACATCAAGGTAGGAAAATGGGTTTTCTATTTCAAAGGTTATTTCACTACACAACAAACCATCAACATTAAGTGCCCTGCTAACTAGCGTGAGCAATCATACCTCTCTACACACTGCCATCTTCAACAGTTGGTATCAGTGAGCAATCATACCTCTCTACACACTGCCATCTTCAACAGTTGGTATCAGTGAGCAATCATACCTCTCTACACACTGCCATCTTCAACAGTTGGTATCAGTGAGCAATCATACCTCTCTACACACTGCCATCTTCAACAGTTGGTATCAGTGAGCAATCATACCTCTCTACATACTGCCATCTTCAACAGTTGGTATCAGTGAGCAATCATACCTCTCTACATACTGCCATCTTCAACAGTTGGTATCAGTGAGCAATCATACCTCTCTACACACTGCCATCTTCAACAGTTGGTATCAGTGAGCAATCATACCTCTCTACACACTGCCATCTTCAACAGTTGGTATCAGTGAGCAATCATACCTCTCTACACACTGCCATCTTCAACAGTTGGTATCAGTGAGCAATCATACCTCTCTACACACTGCCATCTTCAACAGTTGGTATCAGTGAGCAATCATACCTCTCTACACAATGCCATCTTCAACAGTTGGTATCAGTGAGCAATCATACCTCTCTACACACTGCCATCTTCAACAGTTGGTATCAGTGAGCAATCATACCTCTCTACACACTGCCATCTTCAACAGTTGGTATCAGTGAGCAATCATACCTCTCTACACACTGCCATCTTCAACAGTTGGTATCAGTGAGCAATCATACCTCTCTACACACTGCCATCTTCAACAGTTGGTATCAGTGAGCAATCATACCTCTCTACATACTGCCATCTTCAACAGTTGGTATCAGTGAGCAATCATACCTCTCTACACACTGCCATCTTCAACAGTTGGTATCAGTTCGTGTGTTGCACCCCGCCATGCCATCACACAAGGCTGTCAAGAATTGTCTCGCATTGTCTTTCTCTGTTTCTTTTTTCCACAGATCTTTCCAGTGGTCACAACACGTTCCAGTTTCCTTCTTATAACATGACTCCAAAAAATTGATGACTGTCTGTTTCTGATGTTTGTGATAAGCTGTCTTTGAGCCTTCGCCTCTCTTTCAAAACATCTGGGCAGCTATTTTTGGCTGTCCAATGAATTATAAGGATTCTTCTGGCAAAGCACATCTCTGAAGGCCTCAAGAAATTATTTGGCTTGTTTATTAATTTAAGCCAAACAATCAAGCCACACAAACACAAAATGTTTCAAACAGGGATAGGTCATTAGAAATCAAATACAACGAGTATGATTTATGAGTCCCAGAAAGCTTACAGGAAGATGTTGGAGATGGGAAACTTATTGTTGCTAGATTCTGTAGGTGTACATCTCTTTACAGATCTTAGTTCATGGTGTTCTGGGGTCAATTCTGTTCGTTCCCTGTGTGGGTTTCAGAGCCCCACTGTAGGAAAGACAAGAACAGAACCACTGCCTCGTCAAAAAGGTTAGATCTGTAAAACATATGTGCATGCAACTCTCAGGTTCTGGAATAAAAGTACAGTCCAAAAGTGGATGATCCACTAGTCATTTCTGCTACAGAGTTTGCAGCCTGTGAACATGTTGTAATCTTATAGTCCAAGAGTTAAAGTTTCTTCTAGTTTCTTCTAGTGGTCATAGCGCAGGTGAAAGGTTCACACAGCGGCCACCGGTCGGGTCTGTTACCTGGGATACCAGCTAATTGAATGCTGGGCGATTAACACAAAGGCTCCTGCAGAACACAAAGGATTCGGCAGTTGAGATATTTCCATTGTCCAAGTCGGACGTGTTTCCGCGGGGTTAGCGGAAACTGTGTTGGCTCTCTGTATGAGGATATTATAGAAACGTTTTCTCTTTGTGAGGTTTTGATTTACCGTTGTTTGCGGGAGACAGTTCAATGTCTATTTACTTATTTTAATGGCAGGAGCCCATTGAGAAAAGCTGCTGTAATCTTTTATATCATCAGAATAGATAATGGAGATTTATTATCGTACATGTTTTATTGAATAATCATCATCATCTTGTGACGTGTAACTTTAATGCCATTAAAGTTTATGTGGCCTGTCACAAGCGTTATTGTTGGCTTGTAAAGGTAGCGACTGTATTACATGATGCTGTGTCGGTGCCAAGTGTGCCAGTTATAGAATGCAGGACTTCACTGTAGCACATCCATCAAGGAGATATCCAGCGGAATACTAGAATAGGCACCCTAGGCCTAAATACTTGGTTGAATATAAAGTATACAAAAGAATGTACAAATTAAGTGTACACAGTGGATGGCCAAGCCGGTCCTTTGATGGATTTATAAACAGTGTTGATTTACCCAGTGTTTGTGCTACTGACTGATGATCGTTTGAACGAATACATATAACTGTTCTACATAAAGTTATAAATTAACGGATCCTGAAAGGAGTTATAAACTATTTTTTTAAAGGTGTATGCAGTGCTAACGAGTGTTTCTAGCAGCTTTACGAACTTATCGGACATAGGTGAACTAACAGTAGGCCTTAATTGATTTACAGCTGTATAAAGTGCTGGTGACATTAGCAGTGTTATTTGACTCTATAGAATTACTCGTTTTTTTCGGCCGTAATTGACATTCTTCAACGGAGTTCAGCAGTGGATGCTTGAGTTTCGCATCATTACTACTAGGTCCCTGTTCACAGTACGTCGCCTAAGGATCGCAGTACGTCGCCTAAGGATCGCAGTACGTCGCCTAAGGATCGCAGTACGACGCCTGAGGATCGCAGTACGACGCCTGAGGATCGCAGTACGACGCCTAAGGATAGCAGTACGACGCCTAAGGATCGCATCTGTGGATTTAAATCGGGTAATGTTTTTTGTTGACGGATGGGAGTTGTTTTGTGTGCTCGTTTCGTCTCACAACATATCCGAGGTGTTAGAGTGAATGATTATCATCCATGTTTTCTGTTATTTGTAACTTTAATATATCAGCTCATTGAGTTTGGGATGACATATTAGTTCTTTTCTTCAGCTTTTCTTGTCAAATTGGCGGCTCTGATATAGAGGATATGCAAATATTCGTGGCCTTTCTGACAATTAGTCGCTAAAATTGTATGCGTTAAGTGTGTTTCCGTCGTCACGTCATTGGTGTGCTCTTCTGTTTACTTTTCATGATTTCTTTTTTATAACAGGCTTGTGGTGTCAACTTTATTTTTACTATTCGATTCTCTCAACGTTGTCGTTTTGTACATTAGTTGCAGTGAACGAAGTGTAGCGTCTTGTTTGTCAACCATTGTTTGTCTCATTTTTTTCCCCCATTTATTATTATTTTATATTTCTTGTATTGCAAAATACGTCGAGTTATAATGGCTTCCTTTGCGGATTTTGTTGAGCTAGGCCGATCTATGAGTTTAGAGGGGCCAGAGTTGGTAAAATTTGCCGAAGCCAGATTAAAAGAAATTACAGAGAGAGAAGAAAGAGCGTTAGAAAGACAGCAGAAGAAAATTGACTCTGAGTTGAAGATACAACTTCTTAATGCAGAAAAAGAAAAAGCAGAGGCAGAAAAAGGAAAAGCAGAGGCAGAAAGACTAAAACTAAAAGAAGAGTCAGAAATGCTAATTTGTGTAGAAAGAGAAAAGGCTGAACTACAAATAAGGTTAGAAAAGGAAAAGTTAGAGGCAGAACGGGTACTTAAGGAACAGGAAATAGCATTTAAAAGAGAGCAGATGTTGCAGCAGATGCAGGAAAATGATAAGCAGCAGCAATTTAAAGATCGAGAATTAGAATTGTCTCACAAGCAGCAACAACTTAGATTCGACACTGAGATAGAAATTGCTAGAGTAGAGAGAGATAAAATGATTGCTATTAAGGAGGCCGAGAGTAAGAAAAGTGTGGAGATGGATCAGCTCTCCAACCGAGACAGGAATAATGGGTCATACAGGCCGAAGTTGCCCTTTTTAACAACAAATGATTGTTTACACTCTTTTTTGGACAGATTCCAAGAAACGATGTCGTCAGCCCAGATTCCTGAGACACAGTGGGTAGCTCGTCTTAGAGATCTACTAACCGGTACAGTCTTAAACACGTTCACTAACTTACCATTGGAAGACCGTGCATCATTCCAGACAGTGCGTCAGAAATTATTGGCTTCCCAAAATTTGACAGAGGAAAACTACCGTCAAAAATTCAAAAACACAATGCCTTCCTCTGAAAAAAGTTTTGGTGATTTTGTTGCCAATGTTAAGACCTTGTTTTCTAGGTGGACAACTCTGGCGCAGGTCGGTAATTCTTATGATCGTCTAGCAGACCTGATGATTAGGGATAAGATTCTGTCCTGTTGTAGCACAGGATTGTTTGCTTTCTTTCAAGAAAGAAAACCACCATCTATTGAGGAAATGGTGAAACTGGGTGAGCAATATATGAGTGCTCATCCTGGCAAGTCATTGCAAAAGGAAAGTTATACAGAACCTATTCCTGCCGCATCTAGCATGCGCGTGAACCGCTCACATTATTCGCAAAATAATGTTGCTCAGAAACCTCACACTTTTGGCAGAGCAGGTCACTTTAGAAGCCACAGCTATGATCGTTCCAGACGACCAGATAGAGCCTTTCAGAAGACAGAACAGTCACATAGGTACTTTAGCCGGCCTAGAGGTTGTCAGTACTGTTCTTCCTGGCGTCACCAATCAGACCAGTGTCAAAACAAAAGTTATAGACAGAATGATTATGAATCTCCGACACAAGACAGGAGGAGGCACTACGATAACAACCTCAAATGCTTTGTGTGTGGGGGGAATCACCTAAAAAAATTCTGTCCTAGAGTTACACCAAGACAGGGCAATGCAGTTCAGGTAGAGGACATAACACATGCCAGCCACAGTGATACAGTACAAGTCAGAGTTCGACCTGACATCGTGTATCCTGCTTTGTCCGCCATGCCTACAGAATGTGGATTACCTCTCCATTTTGGGTACATTGGCAAGGTTAGATCTACAGTTTTGAGGGACACGGGTGCGAATGTTATTGGCGTGGCAAGATACTTAGTTCCTTCATCTGCATATACAGGAAGGTATGCCAAATGCCGCACATTCGGTGGAAATCTTGAAAAATATCCACTTGCGATTGTGAAAATTAGATGTCCCCATTTTACCGGAGTTGCAGAGGTATGTGTTGTAAACCGAGGTTCACCAGATATCATTCTTGGTACAGTTCCAGGTGTGCGAGCTTGCACAACAGAAGATATTAAGAAGTGGAACGATGAAAATGACACAGTGGCAAATGCTGTTACACGAGCACAGCAGAAACACATAGACAGAGATAGGCACCTTTTAAGGCCCAGATAGCATTTCATGAGCTATCATTTTTGGGTCTAAGAACTTCTACGCTAAATTTATTCCCCATTATTCCTCTATAACATCTGTGTTGTCTGAGTTGACAAGAAAGACGATGCCTCGAGAGGTGTTTTGGGATGAATCCTGCGCACAAGCACTCAGCCAGATACAAAGAACATTTAACAATAAACCATTTCTGAGATTGCCTAATCTATCACTTGATTTTTATGTTTCCTCAGATGCTTCAAATGTCGCACTGGGAGCAGTAATTTCCCAAATGTACGATGGGACTTTACATCCTTGCCTCTATGCAAGTCGCAAATTGTCCGACACTGAAACACGCTATAGTGTCGGAGAGAGAGAAGCACTGGGAATTTACTGGTCCATCGCTAAATTCTCCAGGTACCTAATAGGGAGAACGTTTTATGTAATTACAGACCACAAGTCACTTGCTGTTTTGAACACAGGGTCTGTAACAAATGCCCGTATTCTTCGTTGGACATTGTTTCTTCAGACTTTTAACTATACCATCATCTACCGGAGTGGTAAGGAGAACGTACTTGCTGACTATTTGTCCAGATTTCCTTGTACGTCATGAGACAATCAGTTCCTTTTCACATTGGAATTTTTATACCTCACTACACTACAATGGATGCTTATATATTGTTATCAACATACTTTATCCAGATATGTATATTTCAAGGACATACCTATGAGAAGTGTTTAGTTAGTTAATTTCTCAAGTGTTTTGGACAGATGATTCCATTTATTGGGATTGACAGTAATTATGATATGTGGATTTAGCTTATGAGTTATTAGTGAACCAGTTATGATATTATATTGTATTTCTTGTTGTTATTTCATGTCTTATAACTAAAAGTTATCATCATTTCGTTTACATGCATTCTCACTTAACTACATGTGGATTTCACTAGGTATATTCGAATATAAGTTGTCTAGATGACTACAACAGAGTTAAAATTATGCAACTGAAAACATAGATTTTCAGTTTGTGAGAGGGGGGGATAAGCTGTTGTAATCTTATAGTCCAAGAGTTAAAGTTTCTTCTAGTTTCTTCTAGTGGTCATAGCGCAGGTGAAAGGTTCACACAGCGGCCACCGGTCGGGTCTGTTACCTGGGATACCAGCTAATTGAATGCTGGGCGATTAACACAAAGGCTCCTGCAGAACACAAAGGATTCGGCAGTTGAGATATTTCCATTGTCCAAGTCGGACGTGTTTCCGCGGGGTTAGCGGAAACTGTGTTGGCTCTCTGTATGAGGATATTATAGAAACGTTTTCTCTTTGTGAGGTTTTGATTTACCGTTGTTTGCGGGAGACAGTTCAATGTCTATTTACTTATTTTAATGGCAGGAGCCCATTGAGAAAAGCTGCTGTAATCTTTTATATCATCAGAATAGATAATGGAGATTTATTATCGTACATGTTTTATTGAATAATCATCATCATCTTGTGACGTGTAACTTTAATGCCATTAAAGTTTATGTGGCCTGTCACAAGCGTTATTGTTGGCTTGTAAAGGTAGCGACTGTATTACATGATGCTGTGTCGGTGCCAAGTGTGCCAGTTATAGAATGCAGGACTTCACTGTAGCACATCCATCAAGGAGATATCCAGCGGAATACTAGAATAGGCACCCTAGGCCTAAATACTTGGTTGAATATAAAGTATACAAAAGAATGTACAAATTAAGTGTACAACAGAACACGAAGAAGGAGAATTATGTTTGTGATATGCTTTCATGCCACTATCCTGGACCATCTGATATCATTTCTCCCATCCTCCTTCTAGGCTCTACTGCTGATTTTTTCAATCAAAACTGTTTTTTATCCTACAAACAAAGTAAAATATTCCTCTTTCAAGATCTTTTCTGAGCAATAGTTCGCTGTATGCAGTATTCACATGTCGCCAAAAATTACCCACACCCAAGCTCTCGATGCATGTATTCACGATTAATCCTTATCTGCACAGGACTGAAAGTTACACCAGGCTGGCGTGCCCATTACAGGTACCCTAATTACAACTTTTTGCCATCCAGACTAAGATTTATAATCTCAGGGTATCAAACCTTCAGGTAGCAGTTGGGAAGTGGTGGTCGTGGAATCATATCAAACCTTCAGGTAGCAGCAGTTCAGGGAGTGGTGGTTGTGGAATCATATCAAACTTTCAGGTAGCAGCAGTTCAGGGAGTGGTGGTTGTGGAATCATATCAAACTTTCAGGTAGCAGCAGTTCAGGGAGTGGTGGTTGTGGAATCATATCAAACCTTCAGGTAGCAGCAAATCAGGGAGAGGTGGTTGTGGAATCATATGAAACCTTCAGGTAGCAGCAGTTCAGGAAGTGGTGGTTGTGGAATCATATGAAACCTTCAGGTAGCAGCAGTTCAGGGAGAGGTGGTCGTGGAATCATATCAAACCTTCAGGTAGCAGCAGTTCAGGGAGTGGTGGATTCAGACTTGGTTTAACCAACATATGGAAGAATGGTTACCAATATCCCACTGTCACAGGCAAACAGAGAAATCTTTTTATTTTTTTTATTATTTAAAAACAGGACAGTGAAACTTACATCTGTACCCCATAGTAGCCTGCACCACTGTAAGCAACCAGCATTGCTATCTTCCTTTTGCAGCCTTCTGACTTGCCCAGCTGCACCTGAAGTTATCAAACAAGGCAAATGTTCTTAACAAAGACACCTGTCAGATTTCTGCTTTAATCTTCACAAGGGGTGACAGGAAATTCATGTGAAATCTTTTGCAGGCGTGATCATGATTGGCTCAATTTTGCAGCCATAATTCACAGATTGATTCTTTTCTCTGAAACCCTTTGGATTTTTAAAAAAAGCCCAGAACCTGGGAACTGCCAGGGGGAAAAAATCCTTAAAACACAATAACTATTTTTTTTAATTGAATTATATACACAACATTTTTTTTAAACAAATATATGAAGGGGAGTAATAAATAAACACATATGCAGTAGAGTACAGTAATTCTGGCCTAAAATAGATGTGCATATAGCAACTCATACTATTTTCTCAATTACTACAGTCGGAGTGCATCTGCCTGGTAGACAAGGAACCAACAGTCTGCAGACAAATAAGCCAGATCTATAAAATTGATGTGTACCCAAAACAAGTTCTGGAACAAGGCTAATGTCCAGAAGTGGATGAACAACCAGAACTTTCCGCCAGAGTTGACAGCCAGAGTTAACAGCCGGTGATCATGAAGATCATGAAATTGTGTGACTATAATTATCATTGCATATACATTAGTAAGTAATTTTAGAACATGATTAGAAACTACAAGACGTACCACGTGTTGCTTTTTCTTCTTTTTCGAGTGTTTTTCTGATTTGGAATCCACCTCATCAGTCTCAGCAGGCCTCTTCTGCTAAAATATACACAAATATATTATCAGTGATACAATCTATAGTTTGTTTATATTCGTAGCTAATAGTTACAATATATGATAACAAATGTATCATCAGTAATTAAATCTATAATTTGTGTACATATAGCTTTTACAGTTACAATCATTGATAACAAATGCCCAAGGAAACTGGCGAACATAAAAGGAATGAGTTGAAGATAGGTGTGAAATAAGCGAAAAACCAGGACAGAGTAAAATTGTAAGACACCAGAAATTATGATTATCCCAAGAAGAAAGAAATACCAAAGTGTGAAATACATGCAAATGGCAAAATGGCAAGCAAGATAACAGATACAACTATTCAGAAACAGTCATAACATCAGATGCAAGAGATGCCCTGCAGAAATCAGAAAAAGAATGACCATGGCAAAGGAAGCCTTTAGCAAGATGCAAAATATTCCTACCAATAAAATGTCACTTGCAGTGAGTGAGAAAAAGAGTAATAAAGTGTTATACAGAACTTGTGTTGTTATGTGCATGTTAAACATGGACAATAAACAGACAAGCTGTGGTTTTTATGAAGAATGCAAAGAATATCAAAAAAGGAGAGATACAAAATGAAGCAGTACTCATTGAGACATATAAAAATAGTTCAGTCCTCATTGAGACATATAAAAATAGTTCAGTCCTCAGTGAAACATATAAAAATAGTTCAGTCCTCATTGAGACATAAAAAAATAGTTCAGTCCTCATTGAGACATATAAAAATAGTTCAGTCCTCATTGAGACATATAAAAATAGTTCAGTCCTCATTGAGACATATAAAAATAGTTCAGTCCTCATTGAGACATAAAAATAGTTCAGTCCTCATTGATACATATAAAAATAGTTAAGTCTTCATTGAGACATATGGGGAAACATGAAAGCCCACGCTTACCGGCGCGGCACATGATGAAGAAACAAGAGAAATAACAACCACTGGTAACAACAGTAATTCATTTCAAGACAAAGAAGATAGCACATCCTGAGAAGGAGTCAGCACAGACAGGCACTGAAACTAGAAACAAACGGACTGTGAAACAAGAAAGTTCAAGAGAAACTAAAAAGAACACTGGTGAGAGAAGTCAAAGGTATGGGACTGGATTCCATCTATGATACTCAAAGGAATGCACAAGATAAAATATAATAGAGGAGTAGGCTGCAAGCTCTATTTCACATGTAATGACAAAACAGGATTATGACATTTATGATAATAAAAGCAAATCACCATACAATGCTTGTTCTCCAAAAAAAAAGTTTTTCTCTATGTAAATAAATACAGTAAAGCCTCAGGTCGGTAACAGACATAAAATAGAAATAATAATAACAGACGAAGTCAAAGTAAAGTATTTCTCTTCATGCCTCAATGAGTGTAGTGCAGGCACCAGATGTTTTACAAACAAGCCAGCATTCAATAAGTGATGTGATCAATACACTGGTAGCTGTTAGCAGGCCATCTCCTGCAACTGACTGACTGACTTTTTACTCCACTAGGACATCACACCCAGCGATAAACACCCGGTGACACAAGTGCCAGCATTCGGGGAGCATCCCCCATGCAGAGGTCCCAGAAACCCTGTTCAACCTTTAGGTTTTATTAGGGCCCTGGGCAACAACCAGGGTGGGGCTCCAAAATAACCACTTCCTGTCACTCACTTGAGACTGGATTTACCTGACAGCCATGCAACATACCACATGTGTTCTATTAGTATATACATAGCATACATTTCTTAACTACCTTCATCCCAATTATTTACTACTACAATCCATTCTCCCTCTTCTTTGTGTTCACCAGCTGTTAACTCTAGCAGAAGTTCTGGTTGTTCGTCCACTTCTTGACTTTGGTCTAGTTCCAGAACCTGAATGTTATACACACCTTCGTTTCACAGATCTGACCCACACCTGCAGACTGTTGGTTGCTTGCCTCTCAGGCTATTGCACTCCAACTTTGAAGGAAGCACCCAATTAGTCAACTCTTACGAGTCTTGTTTTCCCCATAATGGGGCCCTGGAACCCACACATGCAGACTGTTGGTTGCTTGCCTCTCAGGCTATTGCACTCCAACTTTGAAGGAAGCACCCAATTAGTCAACTCTTACGAGTCTTGTTTCCCCATAATGGGGCCCTGGAACCCACACATGCAGACTGTTGGTTGCTTGCCTCTCAGGCTATTGCACTCCAACTTTGAAGGAAGCACCCAATTAGTCAACTCTTGCGAGTCTTGTTTCCCCCATAATGGGGCCCTGGAACCCACACATGCAGACTGTTGGTTGCTTGCCTCTCAGGCTATTGCACTCCAACTTTGAAGGAAGCACCCAATTAGTCAACTCTTACGAGTCTTGTTGTCCCCATAATGGGGCCCTGGAACCCCCACAGGGACAACTCATTCTATTCCAGCTTTAAAATTTAACTTCTTCTTTGTAATGTCTCTATTATTTTAACTCACCGAGACTCTGTTTTTTAGCTTTGGAGTTTACACATTTCGGGATACAATATTTCAGTGAAAAGTGCTTGCAATTGTAAGAGTGAAGTGGCATATGCACGATTTCTTTTGATCTCAAAAGTAACCAGGATGTCTATAAAGTGTTTCTGACATCAATGAACCATAACTTTATTTAATCAATGAGACCACCCCCTCCCCCTTTTTTCCTCCCCAATCCACATTTAATCCAAAGTCCCTGTATTGGATTTTTATCAACTTAATTATTGTATACACTCAAGTAGACACAGCAATGGGAACTGCAGTAGTATGGTGGTTACAGGTTCACTTGCCGGCACAAAGACCTTGGGTTTGAAGCTACATCTTGCCGGATGTTTTTGTGTTTTTTTACCCCAGCTCTGAGGTAACCCCAGTCTAAAATGGTACCAGGTAATGTCTTGGGAAGTAAAGGCAGCCAGCATGATGTTTACCACAATATTCACTGAGTGCCAACTGGTTTATAAAAAAATGAGTCTAGTGTAGCAGGTACATTTTAAAAGGGGGGGGGGGGGGGGGGGAAAGAAAAGAAGAGGAGACATTAGACATATAAAAGTAGAGAGAGACAGACAATAAAAAAAACAGTTAAAGGATAAATGAGAGGACAAAAGGTTCTTCTATGTGGAGAGTGTAGTAATAAGTCTACACGGCAGATGATCAGGTAATAGTCAGTGGAGGTATAAAAGAGAGTATAGTAAAGTGGTATAAAGACTATAGCATCCAGCAGCAATACAACACCTAAACTCGACACACTGACAATGGAATAAAAGAATAACATGTAATGTTTATTAAGGAAGGAAACTAGTCTACTATTGAATTCACCACTTTACATTGGATTTATAGACTAGGAAAATGCATTTGACAGCATTGATAGGGAATCTCTCTGAAAAATGATGGAGCACTATGGAATCCCACAGAAAATTTTCAACTTAGTAAAGACAACGTATAAAGACATGAAATGTTGTTTCATCATGAGGGAAAGCTAACAGATACATTTTAAATAAAAACACGTCTGCGACAGGGATGTCTTTTGTCGCCTCTCTTATTTTTACTGGCTATAGACTGGATTATGAAAACAGTAACTGCTAACACCAAGAATGGAATTCAGCGGACCCCTACAATACAGCTTGATGATCTGGACTTCGCTGATGACATTTCTCTTCTGTCCCATTCACGGAATCAGATGCAAGATAAATTAAATATACTTAATGCGAGATCACAGCAGCTTGGTCTGAAAATCCATAAAGGAAAGACAAAGATAATGAGAATAAATAAGGCAAATAGTAATGTGGTTTCCCTTAATGGCACCCCACTCCAAGACGTGGAGTCGTACACCTATTTGGGCAGTTATGTAGATACAAATGGAGGAACTGATAGAGATATTTAAAAAAGAATACATAAGGCAAGAGGAGCTTTCATAGCACTAGAGAATTTGTGGAGGTCAAAAGAAATTAAAAGAAATACTTAACTAAAAATTTTTTAATTCTAATGTCAAATCAGTACTTTTGTATGGGGCAAAAACATGGAGAACAACTAAGGCAATTACTAATAAATTACAGACATTCGTTAACTGGTGCCTACGCAGAATAGAGGAAATTAAATAATATGATAGAATAACTAATGTAGAGCTTTGGGAGAGAACTAAACAGGCTCCAGTGGAACAAGAGGTGAGGAAATTACGCTGGCGCTGGATTGGACACACACTGAGAAAACAGGAGAAAAGCATAACCAGAATGTCTTTGCATTGGAACTCACAGGGGCATAGGAATAAAGGAAGGCCAAAAACACATGGAGAAGAGAGCTGGAGAATGAAGTTAGAAAGATGGGGAGGACATGGGGAGAGCTCCATGCAATGGCAAAGGATAGAACGGCTTGGCGTGAGTTGGTTGAGGGCCTATGCTCCATTGGGGGATAGAAAGGCAGAAGAAGAACTAGTCGTATATTTCAAATTACACAACCAAGATCACCTCAATACAAAGATGTTATACTAAGTTATAACCAGAGTGAGCCCAGTTGCTTCTCACATTATAAATCTTCAGATAGTTCAACAGCCTATTCTTCATTACCAATGATAGCAGAATCTACCCTACTCAGCGATAAAATAACAAGTAGCTCCTATGCCTACTCTACACCCTAACGCCGACTACAGATCTGCAACACAGTACTACCAATTAGCCAACTAGATTTACCAACTCTACAAATAATAAGCCAAATACCGACTACAATCTAGCCAACCCAGTACTTTGACTAGAAGTATCATGTAACAAATCATCAAAGAACATTTCTTGCATTACCTGGCACAGGTCACAAAGCTGACATAGGTCTGCCATGTCTCCCAACCGTTGACATCTGACCTGCCGGCTTTTGCCTCCATGGCACTGTTCTCTCGCAGAGGCCTTCCTCCGAAACTGCTCTTACACAGAACACATCCTCAACTAACCCAAGCCTCCTGGGTTTGTAAATATGCTCTTTCCCGCCAATCCTTACTCCAAGTCGGCGACCCCCACCCCAAGAAAGTTTCCAGGCCACTTTGCTTAATCAGTAGGAAAACCCATTAAGATCTTTTGTATGTCTCAGGTACATGGCCTCAACTGAAAGCTCAGATTTCAGTTCATTTCCTGTCCTGTTAGTGACTCCAGAGTTCGTTAAACCCTTGTCTTAGTCTATCTTTCCATTTTTTTTAGGTGGCAGTTATTCCGCCACGGCCACACTAGCACCGTATGCCTGATCTGTCACCTGGATACCAGGTAAAGTAATGAGAAGTAAAAGCGGTCAACATGATGTTGCCCCCCCCCCCCCCCCCAGGTCTAGAAATATAGAGAACAGGGTGCTTATGATACAGGCAAGCCATTATTATGTATTCAGATTCAATAAGCAGTCAAGATGAAAAAACATATTAAATTGCAATGGTTATGTGGTTGTTTTTTTTATAGGAAAATGCAGAGAATATTGTGAATTAACAGAAAACTAAATGAGACGGTCCCTCTTGACATAGATGCAACCCACTGTAAATCTTCCCCTAAAGCTGTTTTTAAATGTATTTCAACAAATTACCATTTTGAATGACGTCATATATAATCTGAGTGCATCTTCCTTAATCAGTGTTTTTATGTAGATCATAAATATACTGTTCCTAATGACACAAAGATACTCAAAGAAACAATGGTAAAATTTCCGCAATTTTATATAAACCACTGTGTTTGGAAAGACACATGACAAAAACTATTCGAGGGCCAAAGCTGCACCAGACAGTATTCCATTTGGCTCACTCTCAGAAAAGCTGCGTCCCACAAAGCATGGGCTCTTTAGCCCCAGCAACTACTGGCATGCATTACTAAATAAACTGCAGTCATAAACCAACCTGCAACCCAAAAACAAATCTACAATCTTCATATGGTCAAGCACCAAAGTTACCAACATGACAGGACTTACCCCAAGTGACACTGGTAATCTTTCTGCCATTTTCAATAATGTTGGATGTGTTTTCAGTCTGTTTAGGTAACTTTGAATGCACTTTAACATCACAGGCTTGATATATTCCTATCTGAAAATGGGGTAACATAAGAATTCATCTCCATCATTAGGTGCCCTGCTGACTGGTGTGGCCGATCATGCCTCTTCACAATCTGCAACTGTGTGTATCAGTTTGTGTGTTGACACCCCTCCATGCAATGATAAAAGGCTGTCAAGAATTTTCTCACCTTCTCTTTTCATAGATCTTTTTTGTGGTTACAACATGTTCCAGTTTCCTTCTTCATATAATGTATGACTGTCTCTTTCTGAGGTTTGTGATACACTGTCTTTGAGGCCTCATCTCTTTAAAAATACCAGGGTTGCCCTATTTGGTTGTCCAAGGAATTCTAAGGATTAGCTGTTAAATCAGATCTCTGAGGCCTCAAGAAATGGTTTGACTTGTTTACTAATTGTCCAGGGTTGAGAACCATATGTTCAAACTGGCATGTGAGATATTTTTTCTCTAAACTTCAATGACATATTTTTTTCATAAAATCGTCATTTTATAAACATAAGAATTAGTTCACATATTTCATTTAATCATTTAAAAACAAGAAGTACACCTCTTTTCCCCTTTAACCTTCCCAGTCATGATGTACTCCAGTTTTCCCCTTCTCAAGACAAGACCAACAAATGTATATTGTCTCCTTCTGATGTCAGCAATCAGTCGTCTTCATGAGTCAGTCACTTTCAATACATTTTCATAACTCTTTTATCTAACATAGAAGCAGCAGACAGAAATCTCACCTCCCTTGTTCTCTCCAAACTTCCATAATGTATGATTACAAGAAACTATGGCAAAAGAAAGTCCACAGGGACACATGAAGCAGTCAACAGATGAGAGACTCACCTCCCTTGCTTGTTGCTCCCAACTTCTACAATGTATGACTACAAGAAACGGCTATCCTCCGAATAACGGTCCTAAATTATCGAGGCGGAAAATATACCCCAACAGGGCCTCAGTCACGTATCAATTGTGCACTTCAGGGGACTATAACGCCACCGCCGAATTGCAAACTTCCGCCACCGCCGAGAGTATACCCCATGCCTATGGCCCGAGAAAGACGACAGGGACACATGGAAGCAGCAGACATGAGAATGAGACTCACCTACCTTGCTTATTGCTCCCAACTTCTACAATGTATGACTACAAGAAACTATAGCCAGAAAAAGTCGACAGGGACACACATGGAAGCAGCAGTCAGTAGACATGAGAATGAGACTCACCTCCCTTACTTGTTGCTCTCAACTTCTACAATGTATGACTACAAGAAACTATGGCCCGAGAACGTCGACAGGGACACAAACACATGGAAGCAACAGACATGAGAATGAGACTCCCTTGCTTAACTTCTACAATGTATGACTACAAGTACAAGAAACTATGGCCCGAGAACGTCTACATTGACAGGGACACATGGAAGCAGCAGACATGAGAATGAGACTCCCTTGCTTAACTTCTACAATGTATGACTATAAGAAACTATGGCCCGAGAAAGTCGACAGGGACACATGGAAGCAGCAGACATGAGAATGAGACTCGCCTCCCTTGCTTATTGACTATTGCTCCCAACTTCTACAATGTATGACTACAAGAAACTATGGCCCGAGAAAGTCGACAGGGACACATGGAAGCAGCAGACATGAGAATGAGACTCACCTCCCTTGCTTATTGCTCCCAAATTGTACAATGTATGACTACAAGAAACTATAGCCCGATAAAGTCGACAGGGGCACATGGAAGCAGCAGACATGAGAATGAGACTCACCTCCCTTGCTTATTGCTCCCAACCAGTGTTGCCACTTTGGATCTTTTATATCCAAATTTAGATCTTTTTCATTGCATTTAGATACTGTTTTTGACGTTTAGATCGTAAATATTTTTCTAGATTCTTTTTATTTGGAATTAGATATTTTATAGATTTCTTTTCCTTTCATTGTCAATTTAATAATTACAGTGTAAAATATTTACTACAATATTTTTGTTTTGGTCTGGCACGTACATTGTGACAACTGCCATTACTTGAACTTTGAACTCTCACTGAGGTCAACGCACAAATATCTGGCAGCCCCGGTATTGATTAATAAAATCGCGCGTAAATCATACTAACTTTGTCATCATCATCGTCCAGCGCAGACAGTCCAGTCGCACACAGCTCTCGCTCGCTCGCTCGCTCAAACCGCCCGATCAGCCACGTGTCTCTCGTCCGCTTGCTAACTACCCATTCGTAGTCTGATTATCGATAGCTAGATACTGGTCAGACTCGTTTGATATTCGGCTGAGTTTGGCTCGACTACGCTATCGGTATTCGTCTGCGTTTGGGTCATTAGCGGCCCGGGAGCACATCATTTGTTGAAGAGCCAGCCATACCAGCCATTTGTGAAAAGATTGTCTCGTAAACTGCAGAGAAAAGCACGCTCGGTGTACTTTTCAGTTCACTCAACGAGCCTTGCCAGACTCTGCAGGGAGCGAGCAATCAATTGCCGCCGGACTTATACAGCTCTTTGCCAGCCACAGCCACACGAAACCATGGCACGTGATAAAAAGAATCCTGTCCAGCGCCGGGACACCAGGGCAACCTCAGCCAAAAAAGAGGAAGCACCTGTCGCCGCACCAGAACTGACGATGCCAGAACCGGTCGACGACCCGGAGGAGACACCTGCCCAGACGCTGCAAGCCCTAGATGTAGGCCCTATCGAGGCACCCGTCTACCCAGAAGCCGCCCCAGTCGTGGCGCAGGGAGCCACCAACACCCGCCCACTCAGGCAGCAACAGCAGCAGCGATCAGGAACCCACAACACCGAGATTCTGCAGTGCGCACGATGTAACAAGGCGTGGCACTCTGCCTCGTCATGTCGAAGCAGCCCGTCGTGCCGTTACTGTTCCGGCCCACATCCATTCAAGGAATGCCCTCTGGCGAAAGTGGACCCGGACTTTAAGAAGCCCAACGCCAGCCGGAGATGTTCCAACTGCGCAGGAGCACACAGTGCGAGATACATGGGGTGCCCGTATCTAAAAGAATGCAGGAGAACTCTGACGACCACCACCACTCACAACCCAGAGCCGAAGCTAAGATCACGGGCGCCTAGTCCGACAGTTGTGTCACCCACGAACAACGAAATTGCACTTCTAAGACAGGAAATCAGAACTCTTCAAGAAGAGAACGCAAAACTCAAGGCACTCAGGACTCAAGACAGGGACGAGATGTTAGACCTGAGAAACATCCTACAGGCATCACTTGAGACCCAGAACTATTCAAATTCAAAACTGTTTTCAGTAATTTTTGGCATAATTTAAATACTCAAAATTTTAAAACAATAAATGGTGGTCCAAAGGACGTTGTGTATGGAAGCTCGCTCTCCTTCGAGATACGCCTAGCCAGATCAAAGGGAGACAGAACAAACAGGAAACACCAAGAAAGAAGAAGGAAGACATGCACCAGTGACAACAGGACGAGCGGTTTGATTCGGATGGAAGCATCAAGCCCAGAAATGGCACAAACACTAAAATTCAGTCACGAAAGTGACGCAAATAACCCAGACCACAAATATAGGCGGAGACTGCTAGTAGCCTAGGCTAGCTAGCAGCAGTCTGAACGTGGTCGAGCTTTTCTTTTTTTTTTCTCAAAAGGACTTGGACTTGGACTCCGCCGCCAAAGCCACTCCCACCTCTTACCTCACTCTGACAGAAGCAACAAACCTCAGGCATAAATGTAAATCGCCACAACAGAAAAAGCTGATAACTGGAAAGAATTCCAGACACCAAAACGCCGACCTCGATATAACCAATGCTCAGTCTAGGAGCCGGTTGAAAGAGGCACGAAGTTTTTTTTTTTTTTTTTTTTTTTTTTTTTTTTTTTTTGAACACCAAGTAACCAAGTACTAACTTTGTTTCAACCGTATACTTACTGTGCTAAAAAAAAAATAATTGCTCACCTTCTTATGTGGCTTTCACTTTGAAAAAACCTTTCAACATGCCAAAAGTAAAGTATGAGCCAAAAATTTGGAAAGAGTGGTTGCATGATAAAAAAAAAAAAAAAAACGGGGATATGACCAAAGCTTGTTGTAAGTACTGCAAGTGTGAAATTAAAGCGAAAATACAAAACTCAAAGAGTAATGCAGAGACTAAAAAAGCATAAAACTGCAGTTTCATTTAAAGATATTACACCGCTGACATCTGTTTTCAGAACTATACTGATAAATGAATCATCAAAAGTTGAAGTATCAGTCGCAATGTTTTTAATTTGTCACTGCGCAATTTCAAACTAAGACCATTTGATCGATTTGTAAAAAATCTTGGACTAGTTCAATTTGAAAAGTGTGATGTAGAAAGTATAGTTTAGGAACTGAAGGACCTTTTAATCAGCAAACAGTTAGGCTTGAAGAATTTGGCTGTAATTGGTACTGATAATGCCTCAGTGATGGTTGGTATAAACAATGGCGTGTATGCCAAGTTGAAGGAAGCTAACCCATCGTTAATACTTATAAAATGTATGCATCATTCATTGCAGCTAGCATTATCACATGCTTCATCTAAATATTTACCAAGGAATTTGGAATACCTTATTGCTGAAACACTTTACTGGTTTTCCAAATCATTTTTCAGACAACAGCAATACAATACATTATATACAGCCTTGAATGATGGTTCCACACCACCGAAAATTCTGTCAGATTGCAAAACTAGATGGTAATCAATTTAACCAGCTGTTGAAAGAATTATGAAGCAATGGCTGAAGTTGAAGACACACTTTGAAATAACAAGACAAAGTGAAAAGTGCTACGCGGCTGAAATACTATATGGAATGTACAGTGATGAAAAAAAATTGTCATTCATTCTCTTTTTATAACCTATTCTAATGGAAGTGCAAAAAGTTAATAAACTGTTTGAATCTAAACTTGTTGATAAAGATGAATTATTTGATGATCTTATCTTGCTATTTCACTCGGTAAAAGACTGGTGTTGCCAACTTCTAAAACTGATTTGCTCACTTGCACTATAGAGAGCTATTTGGCTCCTAAGCCACACCTTGGATATTAAATCGAATAAAAAATTGATGATTAAAAAACAAAAGGACTGTTAACAGAGAATGAAGAGAACAACTTACGAAAACGCTGTCAAGATTTCCTTATCTCATTATCTCATTATTGAAGAAGAGACTTCCTGAAAATCTAGATGTTTTGAAAAATATTTCACTTTTTTCTCTGTGAGCAACATACTTCAGCCAATAAAGGACATACCTACATATTGTAAAGTTATGACATTTTTAGAGGCTACTGATAATAGTGTCGCGGAAGCAGAATATCAGTTAACCAAAATAAAGTTAGCTGAATGGACAAACAAAACAGAAACTAAAGCGTTTTGGAGTGAAGTGACACAATTTAAAGATGCCTCTTCAAACAGTCCATTCTGTAAGCTCTTTAAAGTGTCATGTCTGCCATGATACTACCCCACTCAAATGCTGACGTAGAAAGAGTTTTCAGTGCTATGAATTATATCAAATCTAACCTAAAAAACAGTATGAAATTTGACCTGTTAAATGCTATCGTGCCATTAAAATTCGGCCTGATGAGACCAGAGAAATAAGCCTACTGTTCCACTTATAAAGAAATTTGAACAGCTAAAGCATACCAGGGTCATTATGGATCTGAAGCTTCAACTTCATTATCCAAGCTAAGTTTATCCTGTGGATCTTGTGAGGCTGACATCGGTGAAGGTGAGGACATGATTATGTAGGATAAGTCATAACAAAAGCTATGTAATTTTTGACTTTTTCAATGTGGATGTTTTTTCTAGATATTTTTCACGCAGATTTAGATCTTTTTAGATATTTTTTGACACCATTTTGGATATTTTTTGTCAAAGAAAAGTGGCAACACTGCTCCCAACTTCTACAAAAGCTGCCCCGGCGAACAAACGAGCCAGAAGTCAGCAGCAGCAGAGTCGGGTCATTGCTAGCGGTTAACGGTCATTTTAGGGGAAGAATTATTTTCATTTGTTTTTTGTCATTCTGCAAAAATGACGTCGCTCTCATTGTGGAGTAAATGTCGTAAGTGTTTATTGCTTGTCCTGCATTATTTAAATATATATGTCAGAGTTTGCATTTGATTAATTTTCACATATTTAAAAATCAAAATCGACAAGTTTGCAAATTCTCTGTTGTAGTGTTTCGTTTCTCAAAAGGCCGGACACAAAGTTTGTTTGGAAAACAATGTAGTATTTCAACTATTTCAGACTGCTCCTGGGACCTTGATTTTATTTTCTTTTTATGTTGCGTCTGTGAAATATTTTTGGTTTCTGTTTTGCTTTCCTTGATTGTCTGCTGGGGAAAGGGGGGGGGGGGAGGAGGGGTTGCCGGCTGAAGTTATATAACTTTTCATTTGTTTTTTCCCTTTCCGTTTCATTCAAAGAGAGTTGTAAAAGTAAAAGCCTTACTGATATAGATTTTAATATAGAAGATGACAGTTCTTAGAGGAACCAAGCTCACATGTAGTCACTGTTCAATGGCTACTGCCAGCTTTACACCTATATTCTTCATTTAGTGTGCTTTTGTCCTTTGCTATATTCTATAACTATAAACATTTCATGATATTTTGTGAAGTTCTTGGTTGCTTGATATCTGATTTCCTCCATGTGTTTGAGTAACATGATATAATCACTAGTAGTATTTCTTTTACTGTTGTCTTTGGCTCTCATTCACTTTCTTGAATGGTAGCTGATGTGCCTTGGATTCTGTTGGACTCTTATGTTTAGCTGCTAGCTCAATTTGCAATGGGGCTATCCTCCAAATAACGGTCCCAAATTATCAAGGCTAAGAAAATACCCTAACAGGGCCTCAGTCATATGTAAATTGCGGATCTCATTTCGACGACTATACCGCCTGAAAGAGGTCTGCAATTTACATATGACTGAGGCCCTGTTAAGGTATTTTCTTTGCTTCGAAAATTTGGGACCATTATTCAGAAGAAAGCCTGCAATTGTTAGGCCTTTGCTGTGTCATTGTTAAGTTGATGTTGTTTATCTTTTATTACTTAAGTAGTTACTAGTTCCTCCAACTTTTTTTTTCATAATTGGCATCTTTCCCCTCTTTCCAAAAGATAGTGTTATATATTATAAGGAGGCATGGGACTCACAGCCTATGGCGAGTGTGACTAGCAAGACCTGCCCACATTAAAAGTCTTCCACAATTATAGCATGGGATTTCAGGACCATTGTTGTCAACATTTGTGTTTAGTCTGTTTCTTCTCAGACGTTCAGCTCATCTTTTGTGCAACCAATACTTCCTCCATTGTTACTGCTCATCTTTTGTGCAACCAATACTTCCTTCATTGTTACTGCTCATCTTTTGTGCAACCAATACTTCCTTCATTGTTACTGCTCATCTTTTGTGCAACCAATACTTCCTCCATTGTTACTGCTCATCTTTTGTGCAACCAATACTTCCTTCATGTTACTGCTCATCTTTTGTGCAACCAATACTTCCTTCATTGTTACTGCTCATCTTTTGTGCAACCAATACTTCCTTCATTGTTACTGCTCATCTTTTGTGCAACCAATACTTCCTTCATTGTTACTGCTCATCTTTTGTGCAACCAATACTTCCTTCATTGTTACTGCTCATCTTTTGTGCAACCAATACTTCCTTCATTGTTACTGCTCATCTTTTGTGCAACCAATACTTCCTTCATTGTTACTGCTCATCTTTTGTGCAACCAATACTTCCTTCATTGTTACTGCTCATCTTTTGTGCAACCAATACTTCCTTCATTGTTACTGCTCATCTTTTGTGCAACCAATACTTCCTTCATTGTTACTGCTCATCTTTTGTGCAACCAATACTTCCTTCATTGTTACTGCTCATCTTTTGTGCAACCAATACTTCCTTCATTGTTACTCCCTTCCTGTTGTGCAACCAATACTTCCTTCATTGTTACTGCTCATCTTTTGTGCAACCAATACTTCCTTCATTGTTACTCCCTTCCTGTTGTGCAACCAATACTTCCTTCATTGTTACTCCCTTCCTGTTGTGCAACCAATACTTCCTTCATTGTTACTGCTCATCTTTTGTGCAACCAATACTTCCTTCATTGTTACTCCCTTCCTGTTGTGCAACCAATACTTCCTTCATTGTTACTGCTCATCTTTTGTGCAACCAATACTTCCTTCATTGTTACTGCTCATCCTTTGTGTACAATCAATACTTCCTTCATTGTTACTGCTCATCTTTTGTGCAACCAATACTTCCTTCATTGTTACTGCTCATCTTTTGTGCAACCAATACTTCCTTCATTGTTACTGCTCATCTTTTGTGCAACCAATACTTCCTTCATTGTTACTGCTCATATTTTGTGCAACCAATACTTCCTTCATTGTTACTGCTCATCTTTTGTGCAACCAATACTTCCTTCATTGTTACTGCTCATCTTTTGTGCAACCAATACTTCCTTCATTGTTACTCCCTTCTTGTTGTGCAACCAATACTTCCTTCATTGTTACTGCTCATCTTTTGTGCAACCAATACTTCCTTCATTGTTACTGCTCATCTTTTGTGCAACCAATACTTCCTTCATTGTTACTGCTCATCTTTTGTGCAACCAATACTTCCTTCATTGTTACTGCTCATCTTTTGTGCAACCAATACTTCCTTCATTGTTACAGCTCATCTTTTGTGCAACCAATACTTCCTTCATTGTTACAGCTCATCTTTTGTGCAACCAATACTTCCTTCATTGTTACTCCCTTCCTGTTGTGCCCCCTCCTCACAACTGACATACCATCCAAAGCACATTTCATTAAATTATTTTTTTTAGTGGGGGGGGGGGGGGGGGGGGGGGGGGGGGGGGGGGGTGGATTTTCATATTTCTAGTAGTCATTGTCAGCACCAAAGCCTTGCTTTGAATGTTTATCTGTTAGCTAATCTGCCAGTAAGAACTTGTTTATCTGCTTCTTTAATTTTATCTTACTTAGAAGTTGTGACCTTTCTTGTAGTGATGTTTGACTAGTTATCTCACTTTTCCATTATGCATCCTTGATGACTAGGTACATTGACACAACTCTGTTTCATGCAATTGTATTTGGTTCTTATGTACTTTGGGACAAAACAGGGAATTTAGAGACTCAGTGGCATGCATGGTTGCTAGGAAATAGTTGTGGTGATTTGTTATCCTTTGAAAACAGTTTTCTCTGTCTCATCTTCCTCCTTTCCTGTCTCTCTTATCCCCTCATCCTTCTCTCTCTCTTTCTCTCTCTCTCTCTCACATGGTCAAATCTTTTGTTTTATTTCAAGCAGAATCTATCACACAGACACAAGAAATTAACATTTTTAGTACTAGATAAATCACCATATGTATTAATTGCTCAGTTTGGTTGATTGTTAGCTGATAAATCCCTAGGATCAATAAATATTAATGCTTAATTTTGATGCATCGGCAAACAAGTCATTTGAGCTGTAAAAACGATTTGCATAAATCAGAGGGAAGATGATGGAGAGCAGGGCTATTCAACGGGCGGCCCATGGGCCAGCGAATCATTACCAGTTGTATTGTATTAGTGATCTTTCTGTTCTGGTGCTCGGGCCTCTTATCCCTGACTCTACCCGATTTTCACAATTCTGCCCGTGAGTAAACTTAGTTGAATAGCCTTGATGTAGAGAGTAATTGTGACCTGGTACCGAAGTAAATTCTCTTCAAGTTGCAGAACACTCCCAAATTGTTATACTTAGTGACTCATTGTCTGTTCTCCAAGCACTATCAAGCAAAAAACAAGACAAATTGCAGATCTAAGGACCAACATTGGCTTACTCTCCAAGGAAGCAGAACTGGTCTTGCAGTGGATACCAGCCCACTGTGGTATTCAAGAAAAAGAGAGAGCAGATGAGTTGGCAAAAGCTGGGAGTAATCTTCCACCACACAGCTACAAGGAAACCAAAAAAGCGCTAAAGCAGTCTTTTAAGCGGGAGTGGAGAAAGCAGAATGGAGATTACAGACCAGAGAGTGACAGCATAAACAAACTCAACAGGAAAGAACAAACATCAATTTTTAGACTTCGGACAGGACACTGTGGTCTTCGAGCACACCTGTACAGGATAGGCATAAAAGAATCTGCTGCCTGTGATTGTGGAGCAGAAAGACAGACCCCTGAGCACATACTGCAGTACTGCCCTAACCTCTCCCAGCAAAGACTGTGGATCTGGCCCAAGGGAGCCACATTGCAAGAGAAGTTACGGGGGACCAGTGGCGACCTTAAACGCACAATCCTATTTGTGACCCAGACGGGACTCAATGTTTAGCATGACTGATGTCGAACACAGAAGAAGAAGAAGAAGCAGAACACTCCAAGTTCAGAAACCAAGGGGCTGTTTTAGACTGGCAATTGAACAACACTTCTGTCCCTCTCTAAGTTCAGAAACCAGAGGCTGTGTTAGATTAGCAATAGAACAACACTTGTGTCCCTCTCCAAGTTCAGAAACCAGAGGCTGTGTTAGACTGGCAATTGAACAACACTTCTGTCCCTCTCTAAGTTCAGAAACCAGGGGCTGTGTTAGACTGTCAGTAGAACAACACTTGTGTCCCTCTCCAAGTTCAGAAACCAGTGGCTGTGTTAGACTGGCAGTAGAACAACACTTCTGTGAAGAGGCATACTGCGATGCAACCAGGTATGGATTCAGAACAGCATATACAGAGCAACTGAAATAGTTACTGATCAAATACAAACATTCATTAAGTGGCACCTGCTCAGAATAGAGGGATTGAATGGTATGATGGAAACACTAATGTGGAGCTTTAGGAGAGAATAAAACAAATTCCAGTCAAGGGATGAAGTAGAGATGCTAGTGCTCGACTGGACACACGTATTGAGAAAACCTGTGCACAGTATAAATAGAATATCTTTACACTGGAACCCCCTAGGTCATAGAAATAAAAACATGCCAAAAAGCTAAGGAGCTAGAAAATAGGTACTGAAACCCAAACAAGAAATTGTTGAAGTAACAACTGTCTGAGATATAGAGGTAAATATGTGTCGAGTTTCCAAATAATCATGTCGTAAGAAATTTGGACTGAAAGCAAGTTTCTCTTCATGTGAATCTTATCTATATATATAAAAATCAATGTTTGTGTGTTTGTTTCACCCCTATAGACTCGGAAACTACTGAACCGATTTAGCTGAAATTTTCAGGATATGTTTGTTGTGATACCGGATTTTGAACTGTCGTGGTTTGAAATTCATCCTGTCACGGTTAGAGATAGGTGACCACAATTTCTGCCAAAATATACGCAACTAATATTTATAACTTTAGTGATTTCTAATTATAGCCACGTTAGTAATTGCGCATGCGCCGTATTTACCATTCGCCGGCGAGTTACGTGCAGCCAACGCCTTCTCTAATACTAATACATAGAGTAGGTCGTGGTACAGCAAACAAGACTATCTCTATATTTGCCACAATAACCATATTAAACACTATTTTTTTTTTTTCAAACAACCTTCGATGGGGGGGGGGGGGGGGGGGGCAATTAAGGACTATCTCGACGTCGGCGCAGGCAGTGACTGCGACATTAACTTCATTAACCGTGTTAGACACGTGCGATTTCTATTTCAATAATATATCTGGAGTATCTGTCTAGGAGAAAACAATTGCCTGCGGTTTTGAATTGTGTTTTAATCGCTTCACAGTAGTAGGAACTCACATGTCTAATAGTTGAGTTCTCTTTTCGTTGTTCCCATTAAGTGGCTGCTTGGTCGAATGGTTAGAACACTGGGTTCATGTGCGGTAGACCTGGGTTCGAATCCGCAGTCGTTATATTTTTTTTTACCCCGGACTAAAATAATATCCTCATCTGCTCTGTCATGGTGACAGCACTAGCCATGTTGCCTTAATATTTGAAAAAAAAAACAAGTAAATGGATAAACCATTTGATAATTAAATTTGACCATTTCGCATACTTATGATTGCATTGTTAAACTTTCCGATTGCATGGTTACGCTGAAATTTCATAGATTTTCATTTATTTTCATTTAGATTTAGTTATTTCATCTGTGTTGGAATTTTAAGCTGTGCTGTTTACAATGGCGTTCATTTCCTAATTATGGTGTTTTTTTCCTGTGTTCGTTTGCTTTTCAAGTGTTGTTTTTTTTTCTTTCAACTACTTCAATGAGGGAAAGAGTTGTCGGTGAATTTGGGGGGGGGGGGGGGGGGGGGGGGGGGCAAACTATTAACTGAGAGAGCTTTAAGTCACAGTAACTGTTTTACCCACTTAAAGTAGCAGCAGCAGTAATAGTTGTTACACCAGGGCTGTTACACCATAGTGCTCTCATGTGAAGACCGCCGGTAAGGTTATGGTGTTCTTCTGTCGGCAAGTGAAATTATACATCCTAACCTGACCAGTCTGTGGCGACAGCACTAGCCATGCGGAACCAAATCTTCTGGCTCACGACTCTATGTCTACTCCGATGGTAACACAGATAGCAGTGACATTATTTTAGTAGTTGTACTGGTACTTGAAGGATGATGTGGTAAATATTACACTAGCCCTATTCACTACCTTTTACAATTCCTGCTCCCTATTTTAGTCCAGATGGACAGGGATGTCAATGTCAGTTTCAGCAACAACAAAATATCGCCAGTTAGTGATTTTCAAATCCTTCGAAGAGGGAGAGAGAGCAGTAGTCGGTGGAAGAGGGGAGGGGGTAATGACTTAAATTTAAAGAGAAATTAAAGAGCTTTACACTTGATTTTCAAGTTCTCATTGCCTAATTTGTTTATATTTTACTAACGCTACCTCCGCTTTTCTATTTTTTACGACTTACTTTGTTATTCACAAGTACAGTTGTAGCTTTACTTCCGTCCCCTATAAAAATACAAACAGCTTTAGCATGTGATAACCAAATAACAATTTTTGTTACTGTGCTAATAACACCATTTAAACGACCACTAATATAAAGACACAATTTATAAGGTGCGTTTTCTAAAGTTGGAAAACCAGATTATCTCTATATCCGTGCAGAGAATGATTGCGACATTAACTGTATTAGACACGTGCGATTTCCATTGTCTTTCTTTTCCAAAAACCTTTGATGAGGGAGATAGTAGTAGGTGGATTTAGTTGTGGTGGTGGGCGGGGATCAAAGACTATCTCTATATCTGAGCAGACAATGATTGTATTAGACATGTGCGTTTTCTATTTTCTTTCATTTCCATTTAGCCAAACTATGCCACAGCAACGCGTGGCCGGGTACAGCTAGTTATTTATAATTTTTCATCCAAGTTTTTCTCTATGTGAATCTTATTAATTGTAATATTTTATCCAAGTTTTTCTTTATGTGAATCTTATTATTTGTAATATTTCATCCAAGTTTTTCTTCATGTGAATCTTATTATTTGAAATATTTCATCCAAGTTTTTCTTCATGTGAATCTTATTATAATATTCCATCCAGGTTACTGAAGATACAGTGAGAATTAATTTGTAAGGTGCATGTCCACTGGCATAGCTGCAGTAATGTAAAGTGGGAGTATTTTATTGGTGAGCAGGCAGTGTAACTGATTTTATTGTGTACTTTTCTAGGTATCGGTTAGAGATTTTTTTGTTTTGATATGACTTGTGTACTGTACACAGTTTTATTTTCTTTTGAACAGGTCCATTTGTTAGTTTCATTAGCATGCAGGGTCATCGGCCAGCACTGCTGTCTTCTGGACCTTACAGCACGAGGAAAGATTGCTATTCCAGACAGATGAGTAGCATGTCAGAGTCCAAGCCCAAGACTGGGATCATGATGATGAACCTTGGAGGGCCCGAGAATCAAGAGGAAGTTCATGACTTTTTACTTCGCCTGTTTCTAGATAAAGATCTGATCCCACTGCCAGCTCAGAACCACCTGGCACCAGTTATTGCAAAGAGGAGAACGCCTCGAATTCAGGCACAGTATGCAAAAATAGGAGGGGGCTCGCCGATCAAGCGTTGGACTACTTTGCAGGGTGAGGGAATGGTCCAAATTTTGGATAAAATCAGCCCAGAATCTGCTCCTCACAAATTTTACATCGGTTTTCGCTATGCTAATCCACTAACCGAGGACACTATTGAAAGGATGGTACAGGATGGAGTCCAGCATGCAATTGCATTCACACAGTACCCACAGTATAGTTGCTCCACCACTGGCAGCAGTTTGAATGCCATATTTCGTCACTACAACCAGAAGGGCAATCCTGGGAATATGGTCTGGAGTGTCATTGACCGCTGGCCCACCCACCATGGCTTGGTACGGGCTTTTGCTGATAATATTAGAAGTGAAATCAAGAAGTTCCCCGAAGAAGATCAGGATGATGTTGTGATTTTGTTCTCGGCTCACTCTCTTCCAATGAAAGTGGTCAATCGAGGTGATCCATATCCAACTGAGGTTGCTGCCACAGTTAGTAGAGTTGTGGAGGATCTTGGACACAGCCATGCCTACCGTCTGGTGTGGCAGTCCAGGGTTGGGCCACTGCCTTGGCTAAGTCCACAAACAGATGAAGCCATTAAAGGTCTGGTCAACAGAGGCAGAAAAAACATCTTGCTTGTCCCTATTGCTTTCACCTCAGACCACATTGAAACTCTGTTTGAGATTGACCATGAATATATTGAGGAGCTGGGATCTGAAGTCGGTGCCAAGAATATTAGACGTGCCTCCAGCCTCAACAACAACCCCATTTTTATCGAAGCCCTGGCGGATATTGTCAAGCAGCACATAGATTCTCGAGTTGGCTGCACTCCACAGCTGGCCTTGCGCTGCCCTATGTGTGTCAACATTACTTGTGGTCAAGCCAAAGATTTTTTCAAAAATCAGCAAGATCAATTAGACGCATTTTATCGTGTTTCCTCTGAAAGAATTAGCACTAAAGCACGGAATTAGTACAAAACAATAGCATAAATGGCTTTTTCATGTTTATTACTGGGAGCCTTCAAAGTATGTTTTATCTTCCCTTTTTTTGTTTCTTTTAAATTAAATATCAGTGATAGATCCTGGGTAGTTAGATTTCTGTGGATATTATCTTTAGTCATGCAAGCGTGAAATGAACAGAAAGATAGACCAGCCAGTTCTGCACCACTTGGTGGTGAACTGGTGCATGACAAGCTGCATATTGTGAGAGTCCTTTGGGAACAAGTGAACATTGCGGAGGCACAAAAAGATCATCACGGTCTGAGGAGAAAGACCCTGCGAGGAGTGACCAGGGGATCTGGCCCTCACTCAAGGAAAAGGCCAGATGGGTATAAAATCAGACTTTTAATGGTGCAGACGGAATTGGAACTGTGCTTGCTGCTGAATATAGGGATAGAGTACTTATGGGAATGCCCAGAATGCTGTGATATTGGTTCTTAGTTCATAATTTCATTCATAATAATTCCCTTGCGATATTAATCTCAAGTCCCACAACACACTCAAGCAAACAGTTGACAGTTGTGGAAGCACATGCTTACCTGCGGATCCAGTAGTCATGTATCCCCTGTCATAGGCATCATGAAATTTCTCAGGATGTAAAGGCAGTAGCTAAGCGAGGTCAGGCAGTACCTGGTTCATAAAGTTTTATGTCGATCCCCCCCACCCCCCCCCCCCCCCCGCCCCCTTTAAAGAATATATATATATATATATAAATATTGTCTCAAAATCATATATTTCTGCCATTTTATCACCTCCTTCCCTGTGCTTGTTCCGTTGCCCCATTGGGGGGAGAAAGGGGGGGGGTTAAACCCACTGGCCACTCCACCCTCTTTCAACAAGCATGTTGTAAACAGTCAACTAATTAGAGAGAGGTGGTTCCTTCAAAGTCACAGTGTATTTATGTGGGAGATGAGGAAACCAACAGTCTGCATACAAATAAGTCAGATCTGTAAAATGGGTATGCATGCAAAACTTCAAGTTCTGAAACAAATCGTAAGTCCAGAAGTGGACAAACAACCAGAACTTTCTATCAGAGTTGAACAGTCGGTGAATGCGAAGAAAAATAACAAGTTATCCCCTCAGTATTGACACCCAGGATAGATGACCTTACTCTCTTCTCCCCTCCCCCCTTTCCCTGTAGAGCTGACTAAAGGTTGCCAGCATGATGTTGATCACATGACCTACCCAGTGGCCACCTTGGCGCTAACACCATGAAGCTATACCGTGGAACTAACAAACACCATGTAGCTAACAAACACCATAGAGCTGAGAAACACCATGGAGCTGACAAAAACCATGTAGCTAACAAACACCATGGAGTTAACACCATGTAGCTAACAAACACCATGGAACTAACAAAAACCATGTAGCTAACAAACACCATAGAGCTGACAAACACCGTGGAGCTAACAAACACCATGGAGATGAATCCACTTTTTTTTCATCAAGTATGAGTACGAAGATGACTGATGAGGCCGATGCGGGCCCGAAAAGTTTTTCAACAGTGAGGACAGGAAATGAGCATTGTGCCAGGGGGGAGATCTCCTGCAGTCACCTTTCTATCCATCCTTTTCTTAATAAGTCTTGCTGTTCTGTTTGCTTCACATGTAGCCGCGCCCTTGTGTAGAGCTGCACGCCATGCATTTCAGTCATGAGAGGCAGCTTCCCAATTGGTGTCATTTATCCCAAATGCTTTGAGTCCTTAAAGCATTTCTCTTGCCCGCCTTGGGAATGTTTCCCATTTTGCAGCTCACCATAGAAAAGTTTTTTGGGAGGCTGTGATCTGGCATGCTTGCCACATGACCAGTCCAACGAATTTGATTCTGCATCAGTAGAGTGTGGATGCTGGGCATGGCTGCTCTCTCAAGAACTACTGTATCAGGTACTTTGTCTTGCCATCTGTGCATTAGTTTTCTAAGGCAGACGGTGTGAAAGTGGTTTAACTTTCTAGCCTGGCGCTGGTATACAGTCCATGTTTCGGATGCGTACAGCAGTGTAGTTAATACAACTGCTCTGTATACTTTGAGCTTGGAGCTAACGCCATGCAGCCTTAACATATTTCTTGGTGTTAAAAATGTGTCCTGACTTGACTGTAAATTTGTCTTTAAGTGCAAGAACACAAATCTGCACTGTTATGTATTTCTTAGGGTTTTGGGTACTTTTTGTTTTTTTTTAAATATTTTTTTAATAGTATATAAATCAGAAACACTTCATGGCCGTCAGGAGCCTCAACACTGTTGAGCAGGGTCCTGGAATTTATACCTGGTGGTTTCTCATCCAAATACTTGTTCTTTGGGTCACTGGCTGTTAATTGCTCAGTATGCGGTCCTAGTGGGGCTCAGCTTCATTCATTCAGTGTTTATCTTATTTAATATATTCAGCCTGTTTTAATATTTTGTAACATATAATATGCTGTTTGCAGTGATATTACTGTTGTTGCATTTCTGAACTGTTTGTTAAATTTCTTTATTACTTCTTCTGTCTTCTGGAGAGAAAAAAATGCTCACCAGATAAGTAAAATCCTTCGCCTGCTGTAACTGATGTTCGTCAGTTTTTATATTGGTGGTTCGTCCTTTTCTAGAAAATGTCAGCACTTTTATTTTGTCTGCGTTGATCTCTATATCATGATTGTCACACTCTGAGTGGAGTCTATTGATATGTTCTTGTAGTTGTACTGCTGTTGGTGCTATGATTGCCTGGTCATCAGTGAAAAGCAGTTCATTTAGTAAGTCTCTGATGTTGTCCCCCATTTTTTTTAAATTAATCTTGTGAAATACTCTGTCCTGTATTTTATTTCTACATCATTATATTTTCCACCATACCCTAATGTCTCGTTGACAAGATATTTTGCATAGGTAATTTCTTTTTTTTTTTTTTTTTTTAGCTTGCTGTCGCAGATCGTGAAGAGGCATGATCACCTATGCCAGTTGGCGGGGAACTAGATGATGATGATTTTTCTGTGATCTGACAGTGACATCTTTGGTTTTTCAGTCATGCCGAATATTCTTTTTCATCGTCTTAGCGTTCACCAGCATAAACTCCGGTGGAAAGTTCTGTTTGTTCGTGCACTTTGGTCTTTTCCAGAATTTGAGTGTTGCATACACATCCATTTCTTCTTCTTTTCGTTCATCGGAGCGACGTGATTGTGTTGTGCTGTTTTCAGCATAGCTGCTAAATCTGGCCTTTTGGCCAACACATCTTTCATTGAGAATGTGTTGCCCTGGTTAACTTGCCAGATAATTTCATGGGGCAGGGACATATTGTGGCCTTATTTGTGAGGTGCTGTCTTTGTCCCCTTATCTACAAGTGTTGCTCCTGGAGACCAAGGCATCCTCGTGTAGACAGGTTGGCCCTCAGGGGAAGGCTGGGGCAGATCATGGGCATTTCCTGCCATCCAAAGAGGCTTTCGTAAATGCAGAGCCGACAGATGAAGCTCTGGTCCTGGGCTCACCTAAAGAATCATCACATCCTGCACCAGACTGCTTAACTTCATTTCCGTATCTTGAGCTTTCCAGTCGTCATGGAGGTCAGCAGGGAGCAGCCCGTAGGTATGGGACCTTGATGCCCACACAAATAGGTGTATTTCTGTTTGCCATTGTTTGTTTCACATGGGAATCTAGCAAGACAGTACGACAGAGCATGCTTCTAGCATGGCTGCCCGTTTTAGGTCCCACACTCTGACGAGTGGTGGCAGGCATGTGAACCTTTCTGCCAGTTAGGACTTTTTTCAGTCGGACGTTCAGGACTTTGTTTCTGCCCCTTAAGACATGTATCAGACATACTTTTATACCACGTCAACCCACTGACAGTGGCAGGTTGTTGTGATGCACCTCAGCATGGTGTCAACGACATTAAGGAACAGCAAGGGATGTACAGACACAGGACTGTTACTGCCACTATCCTCAAGGTTGCAAACAACCACTTGCTATAGGGCTGAATCTCAGCAGTACAGTAGTTCTTCCCACTCGACAGATGTTTTAACCATGACATTAGTAGTGTGTTCAGCTAGTGGACTTTACTCATTTCCCAAATGAGCTTTGGTAGACGTTTTCACCCATCTAGAGGTCACCAAGTCCGAGATCCTTTGTTAACTCTGTTCGCATCACAGAGGTGAGCCCTTGTCCAACTTTGAAGGAAATGTCCCACAATGGACTGCTGGATACCTTGTTACAGTTAGTTGCTGCAATATAATTGTATTAAATAATTGAACAGGTTACTCTACTTGTGCTGCTGTATGACTCCCATCCATTAGATGTTCATTGTTCAGACAGCAGTCCCTGAGGGACAGCGTTGTTTTTCTCTAAGTCAGTCTTGTTGAATTCCTTGCTGTCCATTTTCATGGTCAAACATGTATTTATCTGTTATTGATCTCTTTTTATTATTATGTTACAAAGAATATTTTCTACATTAACCAGAAGTTTCCTTGTTTTATCTTCCAACTTTTTTTAGCTATTCAGAAACATTTCTTCTTTGTGACATGACATGTAGGCACAAGTTTACAATATTATTTTTTGTGTAACCTAGCTGGGTCATGCATCAATGGGGTATTGGTGACTGTTATCTTTCAAATAATTCAAAATGTAAAATGTGCTCTAAATTACATATTTACCGTTTATTTTCATTTTTTAAGATTATGGATGTGTGTATTTGATTTAGCCTATAGTGAGTTGGGATCACATAAGCAAGCATTGTGATAGATTAGGACATTAGCAAGGGGTTTCTGCCGTGTTGCCAGTTAAATAGCTGATAACTGTGGAGGAAATATGAGCAACCTTGACCTAATCCCCAGCTGAAGGGTAAAGGTGAAGGTGAGAGGGCCGACTTCATTGTACCCAACTTTATCTCATATGGCTCAGTCTCTCTCCGCAGAACAGATAGCTACCTGCTGAGAGCGTCGCACAGAGCATGAAATCCGTAGCTCCGTTGACAATCTCCCAGGAAGTCTTTATGTATGTGTACAATCCTCAGCCAGC